ATCAAGAATTGCATGATTATTAAAATATATATGCGCGAAAGTAAACGCAATGTGTACAGAAATAATAGTTGACTGTAAAAATTGTAACTGTTGTCCAATTAAGCATAGTCAGAGCGTGAATTGTATCAGACGATAAACTTTAAATAATAGCGTTTCTAGAGAAACAATTACTATTGCCACAAACGTAATTGAAAAGATGTAGCTCACAAATGGAAAAAAAAATCTAAATATTAAATCTTCTTGTAAATTACAATACAACTCAAACGTCAAAACTACAATTTAAATAACCCAAACATTAGGTAATGAAGAGTTTGTAGGATGAAAGCAAAGTATTTATAGAGAAGTTATATTGACCTTTTAATCTGTTAAGTGTGTTGACCATAGAATTTGTTTGAATAATTGAAAGCTTTCTTTCATAGAAGGTTCATAATTCCGGCTATTGCTCTGTAAGCAACAAAATAGGTGTAATTTTATGGTGAAAAGTTGGAGGATAATTTTTTTGTAGATTGATTTCCAACAATAATTTATTAAAAAAAATCTAATTGTGCATGCATTCTGTCTCAAAAGTAAAAAGAGAAAAATATATACATATGATGTAATGTAGCAGTTAAATGTAGTCTCTTTTCCTACGCTATTAGGGATATATTTTAGTTTTCCTATATTTTATTATTATCTCCATCACATTAAGAAAAAAGTAGGGTCAAAACTATCAGAATATGGTAAAATTTACCATGTTTCTGGCTCTATGAGAACTCCAAAATAGTTTTTACCGAAGCTCTTTGGCAATAATTTTTAAAAAATATCAAAAAAATATGGTTTTATAATGTCTTATAAAATTCACACTTAGCAAATTTTAGTAACTTTATCATAACTCAGAACAGGGATAAAAACCAATTATTCGGTTAAATTTACTTTTTAGCATTGCATTTTTTACTAAGTTTATGCTAATTAGAACTATAATTTTGAAAACCGGAGTGTCCGGTAAAACATTACCCTATGAACGAAAAAATTATCAAATGAGTTTTTTAAAGATCTTACATTTTAATTTTAATAACCAGAATTTCAGAGGGTTTATTTACCTGAAATATCATTAAAATATAGTATATTAATTTTACTAGAATTTTTTTCTCCGTGCGAATTGAAAAATTACAAGCAGAAAATTTAAAAAAGAAAAAAAAGCACAGGCGTCCTAACCTTTTAAACATCGATTAGAAAAATAATTGAAAATTGATAGATGTTATAAAATGTAAATATAAAAAAGAGAAAAATGCAAATCGAGTTCCAACTTAAGCTAAAAAATGAAACACAAAAAAGTTTTGTTAGAAGCTTTATTTTGTTACTAACTATATATTTTATTTGTTTGAGTTTCATTTCCCTCCTTATACCTTCATAAAAAAAAATAGTCGATTATACTTTAAATGCTCTATAAAATGTTTAGCTGAGATATTTTTTTATATTTTTTTAACTGAAAATAAATTACTGTTGCAATAAATGGAAAAAGTTTTATCAAAATACTTCAAAATAGCGAAATAGTAATTTTTTCGAATTAACTTCCAAAATTTATTCAGCATGCAATTCATTTGAAATTTGTTTTAAAATATTAATAATAATAATTAAAAAAAACGCAGATAGAAAATTCAAACGAAAACTTATACAATAATTAATACTTTCTTAAATATTCTCCTTTATTTCTAAACAATCAGTAGCTAATTTTGTTCCATAAAATTCGGAAAATTATTTTTCGTTAAGAATTGAAAATACAGCTATTTAAACTGAAGAATAATTTTTATTCAAAAAAAAAATTACTAGTATTAAAACAGAAATACGTTTATCTTTATCTTTAGATAATGTATATCTTAGAGATAATGTATATCTTAGAGATAATGTATATCTTAGAGAGATTTCAGTGATACATCCATCTCGTTTTAAAAACTTTGATAATACGAATGTCAAAGTTTCCAGTTCAAAAAATAGGTTTCTAGGAGGAAAGGAATAACGGAGCAAAAGAGAAGGATATATGCAACTTTTATGAAAAATAAGATCTAATTTAAGCATATAACTCTAGTGGTTACCATTGATTTTTGATAGTGGTTTTGATTAGTGGTTACCATTGATTTTTGATTTTTGAATAATAATAAAAAAAAGTTTAGTCCGTTTTTTATTTCGCCCACTGTATATTCTTTACGTGTAATAATATACAAATAATTTTTACACAAATTAACTATATTTGAATGCAATATGACAACTGACCTTAAACTGTAAAAAATTTCGGATCAAATGACGGTAAAATATACCATTACTTTTTGCCGAAAAATAAATATTTACCGCAAAAAGTTTACATAACAAAAAACCTGATTTTTCGTAAATTTTATTTACAGTAATATTTACTATAAAATAACTGAACCACTTTAATTAAATATTTATTACTGTAAAAATTACGCTATAAAATTTTGCGTTAAAAATAGATTTTAAGGACGAAAACTTAACTTAAAAATTTTTGTAGTTAAGTTTTCATCCTTATAAAGAAACAAAACTAGTAAACTTTTCTAGTTTTTCTCCCTTTTACTTTTCTATTTTTCGGTGGCAACTTTGCATTTATATTTCAAATCACTTTTGTTTCTTCTCATTCACGTTTGGCAAGTCTTGAAAATGGGCACCTATTTTTGAGCGATTGAAACATGTCGACTGTTATTCCCAATGTGCATACTTTGGAAATAAAAGAAGTTTTTAAACAAGTAGTATCTTATCACTTCAGTTTCTTAAGATTATTTATTTTATAGGAGTGACCTAAATTACAGTGACAATGAATTATAATATTTTTTAATTGAAACAGAAATTATATCTACCCATTATAACTGCGATGCAATTTTCCAATATTATTTTACATATTAACCTTAAATGTCGTGTGATAAACTGGAAAATTGCTTTTAAAAAATGTTTATCTTATTCGAAAAAGTCGAAAAATTTACGAAAAATTACATTCAGCAATTCATACTGTCAAAAAAATATGAAATTTTAGAATTACTGAGGTCTCAAGAAAAAGTATTCTAATTATTAAGCAAACAAAAATTACTAAATAATGAAACAGACAAAATTACTAGATTTGACAGACATTAACAAAACTAACGTCACATTTTCTTTACGGGCATTTCAAGAAACTACCAAGGTAACTACTTAAAAGTAGTTGCTACTTGCTTCTATTGATTACAAAATTTTTTTAAAAAAAGGATACTTTAAAATGATTTATGTTAAGAAATAATAATTTCAGCAAGCTTATGATGCCATCTTTAGAATCCCCCCAAAGAATGAATCTTTAATCTAGGTATCAGGATTTACAAGAATAAAAAATATTTGGTAAATTTACCGTGTATGGTAAGCATAGTTAGGGGGAAAAAAAATTTAAAAAATTTGAAAAATAGTCATAATTCTGGTTAATAAAGCCAAAATATTGTGTATTTAAACCATTTCTTTGGAAATTCATTTAATAATTTTGTAAACCACTGCATTTCACATGGTAACGGTTTTACGGAAATTCTAGTTTTCAAAATTATAGTTTTTATTATCACATATTTAGTAAAAAATACAAAACTGAAAAATATCTTTAACCGAATAAATGTTTCTTATGCCATGCTCTAAGGCATTATGATAAAATGACTTAATTTTATCGCATTTACCAAATTTTATTGCACATTATAAAACAATATTTAATTGTTAATTTTACTAAAATCATTACTAAAGTGCTTCGGTTAAAATTACCTATCCCTTTGGTGTCCCCATAGAGCCAGATTTTACCACATTCTGGTAGTTCTGACTATATTTTTTTCATAGTATAGGCTCAAGGGCCGGGATAACCTGGTCGGTAGGGAGCTGAACCCATGTCCAAGAGTTCATGGGTTCGATCCCCACTGACCGAAGACTGGCGAAGAAGAAGTAGTAAAGGGTGACTGATGCACGTTAAGTCTGTCGAGTCACAAGGTCCTCCATGTTCCCACAACAAATCAATACCTCTGGAGGTACTAATCCAGGAGTTTCCTTGTCTTCTGGATTGGTTCAAAATTACAAGGCTACGGAGTTGAACATCACTAGTCGCAAACCTAAAAATTGGGTCAGCTGTTCAACGACGGATATAAATATAGTATAGGCTCAAGTGAAATTTCGACACTAATTTTTAGGAAAACAATATAAATTTATTAAAAAATTTATAATATATTTATCCCAATGGAGCCGAGTATTGATGAGCACCAGCTTGTCTGGGACGTGAAGGCGGCCGATGCGCAATGTAGGCCGCTCATTGCATAATGTCGCTTATATTGAAATTTTAAAGCCTTAACCTCAGTGAACCTCTTGATCTACAAACTGGTTGCTGCAAGAATGTTTTGTATTTATTGTATATTAATAACTCTAAATATTAATAATTATATATTTCAATAATACTACATGTTAATATTTCTATAAGAGCAACAGTAGGACGAATATATTTTTCATATCTCAAAGCTAAAAGGACATTTTTTTAGTGATTTAATTTATTAGACGCTTCCAATGTACAGAAATTAGAAGAAAACACCAAAAAAAATTTCGACCAATTTCAAATATAACTTTTTTTTTAAAACTCTTCTAAAACCAGACTTTTATTTCCTATTGTATTGCAATTAAGTTGGATAATCAAAGCTGAAAAATAAAGAGCATTTATCATTTGATTTTGAATACGAAGCAATAATATAACAGCATTTTTTCTTACAGGAATTTTCTAAACAAGTACTTTTCGCTACAAATCAATTACCTCAACTAATCAAAAGCATTACAGCTGGTCATAAAATTCTCCCTATTTCATATCTCTTTATATTCAAGTAGTCAATTACAAATTCCGGAACTAAGTCCGTTTTTTATTCTAGTAAAGCATATCGCCAAGCAGATACTAAGTCTCCAGCGATAACTCGCCAAGGCCAGGAGCATCAATTTAGGGATGGGGAGGGAAGAACTTGCGGGGGTCCTCCGAAAAGATTTAAGAAATGAGCACCACTCGTCCCGAAACCAAACATTGTTGGACTCGTTTTGATCATGTTGTACTCTGGATTTCTTCTTGCTGTGCTCGTCGTGGACTCGGTATTTGCCGGGAATATAGGAATTGAAACCGTTTTTGCAATAACTCGGTGCAGAGCTTCATGTCTTGATACAGTAAGTTTTATTATTTTTTTATTTTTGCTTTTTTTTAAAAATTAAAAAAAAAAAAGACTTATTTTGTTTCCGTGGTTTCATTTTAACATTATTATGATAGAAAAAAGATGAGCTAGAACTTTTAATACGTAGAACTTAAGATAATTAAGAAAATCGAGCACTTTTATTACTCTTTATATAAATATCTCTTGTTACAAGTTTTATCATTATTATTTTTTTACTTCTCTTAAAAATTTAAAAAAAAAAGACTTATTTTGTATCCGTGGTTTCATTTGAACATTATTATGATAGAAAAAATATGAACTAGAACTTTTAATACATAGAACTTAAGATAATTAAGAAAATCGAGCACTTTTATTACTCTTTATATAAATAACTCTTGTTACAAGTTGTATCATTATTATTTTCTGACTTTTTTTAAAAATTAAAAAAAAAATGACTTATTTTGTATCGGGGGTTTCATTTGAACATTATTATGATAGAAAAAAGATGAGCTAGAACTTTTAATACGTAGAACTTAAGATAATTAAGAAAATCGAGCACTTTTATTACTCTTTATATAAATAACTCCTGTTACAAGTTTTATCATTATTATTTTTTTACTTTTTTTAAAAATTAAAAAAGAAATGACTAATTTTGTATCCGTGGTTTCATTTGAACATAATTATGATTGGAAAAAGATGTACTAGAACTTTTAACACATAGAAATTAAGATAATAAAAAAAAATTGAGCACTTTTATTACTCTTTATATAAATAACTCATGTTACAATAATTTTCGCTAAAATAAATTTAGTTTTAATTTTTATTTTTTTTAAAAAGGAATTAAAGAAAGTATTAATAACATCAAGATTGATTTTAACAAAAATATTTAAGAACTTGCCTTTTTTAAAGTGAGTAACATGTCTTTAAAGTTCACTAACATAACGTTTGTCAAAATGGAATTTCCCTGAAGTAAATATTTAAGTCTATGTAACAAAATTTAAAGTAAAACAAATAGATTGTAAAACAGCGCTGTGATGAAATTTTATCCAAACTGCAATTTTCATTTGTTTAATATGATGAACATGTTTGGTACTAATTCTTAATCAACATCTATGACTAAAATCTTGAAGACAGTAAGTAATACATTTTTAAAGCATGCAAATTAACCGTTTGTACGTCAGATAATCACTATCACTTTTCTACACATTTCTCTCTCTTATTTGAATTGAAATAAATTATATAATCTCAAAATAAATAGAATATAGCAGTTGTAATAAAAATAGTAATAATCAAAATTTGAAATCAAGGCTTTGAATAATGTAAAACTTAGGGTTTCAAAATCAGGTTGACAAACTTTTTAACAACACCATCATTAAGCTAGGATACAATAATTTTTTAAGTTTGCTCATAATGTTGCAAACCTGCTTATCAATATAGCATTTTATTATGTTTCAATTTATTATACAGCAAAGGCGTAAAATATAAAGGTAAAAAATGGTTGTAAAATATGCTATTTGTAAAAAAATCTATTATATGATTAATTGATTTTGTATATTTTTACTTATATTATCACATCTCCTTTAAAAAAGTTTATACAAAATTTTTCTAAAATTTAAAATTTTTCTAAATACAAAATTTTTCTAAAATTTAATATTAAGCTGAACTAGGAAAGTAAAATTAGTGAGATAGTGTGTATTTGTGAGCTAAATATGTACAATTAAAAATTTCATTTCTAAATATACAATATAATTTTTATTTATATATTTCTAAATTTGCATTTATATATTTATATATTCTTGTATTTATATATTTGTGTTAAGAAAAAAAATTTGGTGTTCTAGTGAAAAATATTATAATAATGAAAAACTAACACTAGTGGTTAAAATTACAAGATTTAGAAATGACTGGAAATCATTTTATTTTTGACATTTATTTTAACATTGATTTTACATTTAATTTAACATTTAAATTAGCTTTCTGATAGAAAAATAGTTGATTCTTCATTTGATTTAAACATGAGTCAAAATAAATAATGATGTGTTTAACTTATTCGATCTTATTTATTCATTTGCTTGTATGTTTATTTAATTTTTTCAGTTTTAATAATTTACACAAATATGAAAAGTAGAATAAGGTTTCTTAAGATGACCTAAATTTCTGCATTAAAATAACGATAAATTGTTCAATTGAAGCAGATATCTACTATTATCAATTGCAATTTATTTATAAATTAATTTAATATATTTTAATGCATTAAATAAATACATAACTGTAAGACATATTTCAATCGCTATTAAAATTTTTAAAAGATTTTATTTCAAGGAGTAGGTCTGTTAATTTATTAAACGTCTGTTCAATTTCGTTATTTTTTAAAAAAAAGATCTGAATTATCCAACTATTCCATTTATTATTTTGAAACATTTATGTTATTTAAAAAATTAAGGGCAATAACAATAAAAATAACCTTCTTAATTTTTCTCTTCATTTTTACTTATCATTTTAATGATGAAAACAATCATAAAATCACATACTTAAAGATATAATTTCAATGTAGCTAATTATAGTACATAAAGAAAGAAGATGTAGAGAAATTTCGAAAAATGAAAAACCATTTTACTGCAGCATTAACTCAAACAAATTTGCATCTAAATTCAAGTTAAAATATTCTCAAACTTATTTTACTGATTTATGTGAAATTCTATAGCAAATCGAAACCTCTGAGATGGTAATAAAAAATCTTCATCTAAGATATTCTACTCACTAAGAGTAAAATCAAATGCAATAAATTTAAGTTGAATTTTAATGTTCTAAGAACATTAATTATCCAGTGAAGTACACTTTAATACGAATACATATTTACCATATTTACGCAAACTATGTTTTAAAAAAATCTTACTGAGTAATTCAAATTGCTGAAAAATTAATCAAATTTGTAACTTTATTAAGCATTGAACTGCTGATTTTCATTGAAGGTATTTTATATATCATTTAAATATTACATTTTATGAATATTATTACATCTTCTAACTATTTGTATATTCATAGTAACGTAAAATTATGTTCTTTAAATTTTATCTATCCCCTTATCTATATGTAAAATAATTGACTTTGACATAAAATAAAAAGACGCAGCAGAAATTATTAAATATATATGATACTCTTGCTTGTAATTATTAGACATTAATTACCCAATACAGTCTACAAAAATATAATAAATGCTAAAAGATAGCCTGTCCATTTGAACTATCTAGCGCGTAACATCTTTTTATATATATTTATTATTATTTATTTTTTTTCATTTAACCTTTTTTACCATTTATCCTTTACAACAATTAAAATGTAATAAAACCTTGCAGGTGATTTGATTATTTACTATCAAAATTATAAATAATCAAAAGTTCTTTGAAAAGATAAATTATTAAACTTATTAATTTATTTATTTATACATTTTACATTATTTATAGCTACGATCACCATGTATCACAAACGTAGTTGAAAATTATTAAACCTATACATCAATTGAAATTCTTCGCTAGTTATTTCTTAAACTATATTTTACCGTTAAAGATCACAAAAAGAGTTACTTAATTATTTTAAAAATAACCAAAAAAAATTCTGTTCTTATTTTCTTAACTTATTTAGAAATAGCAGCAACAAAAAAATATTCCATTTTTATTTTCCTAACTTCTCAACCCCTCTTTATTTACTTTAAAGAATGAAAAATGAAAAAAAAATTCAAAATAATAGCCACAATGATTTTCATAATCCGAAACTGGTTATGATGCATTGAAATCCATAAAGATATGTTGAGTCTACTTGTCTAAATATTTACCCAAACAAACTTAAAACCAAGTTTATCCCTAAGTTTTCATTTTTTTTCTTTCATCCCACATAATTCTTCCGTAAATATAATTTAAGTACGTCCTGCCGAACCTCTCATTACACTATAAAAAACGCTGCAGTAACGTAACTCTGTATAATCACTTCGACTTCTTTTTTATTTTGAAAAAAGATACACATATATATTTTCAGAAGAAAAGTAGGCTTTCTTCAATTACGGGCAATTCCACCGGAGGCCGTATTGTTGGTAGATGGCGATGATTGCAGTAGGGCCTACTAGGCCACGAATTTCTACAGATATCCAAAAGGGAGGGGTGCATCACCAACAAAACCATCTGTTTGGTACCCCAGCGTGGGATTACCTCGAAAAAGGAGAAGCCAAGCTAAAAAGATAAAATGATAAAAGGTCGGAAAAGGTTAATAACGATCGCTTTCCCCCAGCTCTCGGATTCAAGAAAAATACCAAAAATGATTCTATAGCGCTCTACTTGGCATCAATGATGTCTTAACCTTGCTCTTTGATTCCAGTATGTAGATTAATAGACCATTTCATTTGTCATGTCTGCTTTAGTTTCGCTCGGAAAATAAGCGGGAAATTTGAAATAATAGTGTATTCGGAGCTCAAGATAAAATATTTAAACCTGATTTTTAGAGCTAAGAAAACAGAAAAAGAAAATAATTATATTTATTGTACATGTATCCGTTGATTTATTTTAATGCGTTTTATTATACTTTTATATTTTAATCCATTTTGACTTTGTAACTTTTATAGTTCAAAAACTAATTCAAGAAAAATAATCTTATAGCTCTTTGATTTAAATACGTAATTATAATTTCACTTCATTTTTCCATGTTTAGTTAGAATTTAAAGGATTAGGAATAACTTTAAGAATGAGACGTAAGGATTAAGACATACTTTAAAACACATATTAGTAAAAAATGATAGCGAAATGAAATAATAAGTCAGATTATTTAGGTTTGACTGATTAGAGGACAAAACGAAAAACGAAAAGTCTGTAAAATTTATGACGCAAATTTTATAATTAACTCTGATTTCAGAAAATATGCGAATAGAAGAGTAAAGTAAATAAAATGGAGCTAGCACCTAAACAGTATATATTGCATTAAATGAATAGTAAATATTTTGAAACATTACTTTTTTTTCTTCATTTATTGTATAACATTGCTAGACGAAGAAAGAAATTCTGGTAAAATTACCGTATTGAATTTTAATAGCATTTCTGGTCATAAAAAATATATAATTTTGGTAATTGAAACCAACATACACTGCATTTAAACCAATAATTTTCGTTCATATGGCAACGGTTTACCAGAAATCCTGCTTTTCAAAATTACACTTTTTATTATCACACATTTAGTACAAAATACAAAAAATGAAAAGTAAATTTAACCGAACAAAAAGTTTTTACGCCATGCTCTAAGGTACCAAGATAAAATTACCAAATTTTATCACATATTTTATTAAGTTTACCGAAGAACACGATAAATTTGACCATACCCTAAAAAATTTGACCATTCTTTTTTTCTCAGTGTATAAACATCACGACTCACTGTCATTTTGTTAGTGAATTTTATTAAGCTACTGCATATTCTATAATTTGGCTGTTTGTCTTTAGTTGAGCTATCATGCAAATTTTATTTAACTTTATATCCTGAAAAAAAATTTATTATTAAACGCTAAATGTGTAACATCCTAGTATTATAAACAATACTGCAGAAAAATTAGCCAAACATAAGAAGATATTTTAAATTTAAATAAAGTTCAAATAAATGTTCTTATTCTATTAATTATATTTTCGTTATGCGAAATTTAAAAAGTTTGCATACAGTTAATGAGAAATAGTATAATATTATCATCAAAATTGCATTACTATAGATTATTCCTTAAAGCTCCCTCGAAAAACATTATTTACTTAAAGAAAACAAGAAAATTAAATTAGCAAATTAATGAAAATTTTCAATTATAATCATAATACTCAATAAATATTTTCAGAGTCTTATAAATTTTGACGGCTTGTCTTGTAAGATTTGATTTTAATCAGAGTTGCTATCTTGTTTGTTTTACGATAAAAATACTAAATTCGTAAAAACATCAAGATAACGACTTAAAAATTTTGTTGATTCGTATTGATGCATTTTTTTAATTTTTGGAATTTTTTTTTCATATTTCAGTTTTCTCATCAAATCCGCACGGAAGACAATTGTCGAAAAAATTTGGATTGTCTCATGGTAAGTCTCAACACTTATTATTATGTAGTGAGCGAAATATATAAAACAAATATTAAAAATACCGGACTACTCTGAATAACTATTGATCTAATGATCGGATCTTCACATTCTACGACTCAATCTTAAAGGCTCGAAAGGCTTAAAATAAGCTCAATTTTATTGGCTTACTATATCGTCTGCACTTATTAATATATTAATTAATAAGTGCAGACGATATTTTAAGTTACGAAATCAGACACGAAAACGTCTTTTTTCTGAACAAAATATCTTTTTTCGACGGAATCGGATTTCTGACCTCCAAAATATCTGGAAAATATGGACCCAATAGTGGTCCAAAGTTAGGATTCCTTTATGTTAATTTTATATTTTTGCGTATTTCGACATATCTCAAAAAAAAAAAATTCTTATTGAAAAACTTTTGCGCTCAATTACAAAATTCATTTATCCGAAGATAATTTCAAGCAAAAACTAACTTTTAGTAAATATTTAATATTTTTATTATAATTTTTTTATAATAGTTTAAAAATTTTTGAATTGTTATGAATACAATTTTTGACATCATTTTAAAGAATGTAATTTTACATGGCAAAATACAAAATTTGAGCGAAATTGGTCAATTAGCTCCTGAGAATTCAAATTCTAAAAAATTCGTATTTTAAAATTCGATTTCTCAGAAATTATTCGACTGCACTAATTAATTAACATATTTGAAGTCTCCCTCTCTAACCATTGAGTCCTAGAACATGAGATCTTAATCTTAAAAGTTTTCAGGATGGTCCGCTTGCGTATTGCACAAAATTGTTTGCAAAACGTTCTGCTCCTCATAAATATTCAGTATAACTTCATTTTCTATATTTCGTTACATCATTTACTTTTAAATACAATTGGAGCTTAATCACTCCATTCAGAAATTTCACCAAGATTCCCTGATTAGAGAAGCGAGCTTTTTCTCAATCGAGTAGAACGTTTCACCCGAATAGGGGGTACGATTAAAATTTTGTTATTTTCTCTTTGGAATTCTCCCGTACGAGCTATTGTTCTCTTTTTCATATTCTCCTTTACACATTTTATTACGGAAGGTGACATAAACTTTAACAACATTTAAATTAAATGAGTAAAATAGTAAGAATTTTTTTAATTTTTGAATCACATTAAAATAATAATTATTTTTTGTGTTTAGTGTTGGGAAACATGTGAAATGCTGAATCAAAATTTTGAACTTTGGGGACCAATGTGTTCTGTTCCCGATATTTGTGTAAGTAGATTTATTTTGTATCTTTTTTCGAATTATATATATACTTTCTTTTCAGTGTACATATTTTCATATTTTAAAGTTTTACGAGAAAATATTTTACCTCAGCTGCTTTAAAATTCGCTTAAAACCTTATAAATTTTATCCGCTTCCATCCCCCCCCCCAAAAAAAAATAAGAATTACAACTCGTTCAAAAAAAAAAAAAAAAAAAAATTTTTTTTATTTATTTTNATTTTTTTTTCAGAACATGAAAATTAAGAGTGTCACGCACTTGGAATAGAAGTATGTATTCACTTATTTCTTAAATGTTTTATGCTATAGTTTTAGTAAATATTATTCCTTAATAGCACTACTGCACTAGATAAGATTTGTCTTTTTTACAGTTTTTAAAGAAATTCGCATTCCTAATTTTAAAAAAATCAACATTTCTAAGGTTATAATACTTTTCCTTCTTTTCATAAACGAAACCAAAAATTCATTTAAAATATTAACTTTAACTGATTTATGTTAGTAAAAAAATGATATCACCCTTCCGATATCACCCTAAGATAAATAATAATAAGCATTATCCTATGTTGAACTCGAAGTCTTGCAACAACCTCAATTTTCTTTTCGCGCAAGCTTCAGCTATTTTCGCGCAATTTTCCATTTTTGTGCAAGCTTTATTTAAGATAACTGAACAAGGAAAAACGGTACTTAATTTAAAATCTTAATAAATCTGAAAACAAAATTTGAGGGAAAAAGTTTTTTATTTGAAATATATTCGATTTGAAAAGTAGTTTATTTCATTTAAATATTTAAAGAAATAATTATATTTACTCATCCACCCCGTTTTTATTCAAAGAATGATTCTATTTATGCTGCTTCATCAATTTCATCATTAAAAGTTTCTCCCTAAAGTGGATCGAAATATTTGAAAATATCGTAATATCCTATTATTTAATTGAGAACAGTTAAATTTGTTTAGTATATAGATAATGAGATACAAACTAAATGGCTCGATAAAAAAGCGGAACGAAAGAAAAATTGAGGTAATAATATCCTGTTTAATATCACGTGGAAATAAATGAGAACAAATAAAAAGTTAAGCTGACTAGGAAAACCGACGTAAGATGAGAAACTATGCCGTATAATTTATTCCAATAAATAGAATCGTAATACGAGGGTATTCATTTCTAATTCATACTCAATATAATTTACCAAAATTTATGTCTGCAAAACCGTTCTGAAAAGTGTCATAATGTCATAAGTAAGTGGTTTCGTTACTTGTTTAGTAATGAGTTATTTTATTCATTTTAGTGAAAAATCGTAACAAAATAAATAAATGCTACCATGAAAAGAAACCACATTCTTATTCACGTGAATACTTCCTGCTAATATTTTTATGTATTTTACGTGTCATAGTTCATAAAATGAATGCTTTGATATAGTTCCTGATATTTAGATATTGTCGTAAATTAGCTCATGATATGCGTAATAAAATTAAAGCCCAGATAACCATGACCTAAAAGTTTTCAAATTGAGGTCTTAAATTGCTGATTAAGATTTTAACAGGAGTAAAAACGCAGAAACATTTGATAAAAATGATAATTTGATTGAATTAAAAGGGTTAATTTGAATCAATACATATATTACTTGCAAATGAAGTAAGGTAATATGATTCTGATATTTTATTTATGATTAAGATTTTATTTTGAGACATTATATACCGATAGAAATTTTGGAGTGTCTTAAACCATGATATCATTCAAATTTGCTGCAACCCAACCTTAATGAGTTCCATATTATAAAGACTTCACAGAACTTGAAAGGAAACAAGATTAATTTTAATATGGAATTTAACCACGGCATCGTTCAAGTTTACTTCAACCTTAATTCGAGCCATAATATTAAGACTTCTCAGTAATTAGAGTCATTTGAATATCAAATAGAACCATAACATCTTTCAAAGTTGCTGAAACCATAATAATACATCTCATATTATTAAAACTTCATGGAACTTGAAAGGTAATGAGATTTATTTTAAAATCTAACGTTGCAACAAATGTGAAAGATTTTAAGGTTCATTGTAAAGTAAAGCCCGGATATTACGGTTCAAAATAAAACCAATTTTTCTCAAAGTATTGCAAATTTTTTAAGTGTTGCAGAACTTAAACGTTGAATTTGAAAATTCAGCAATCTTACCGTTCAAGTAAATCTAGTACCAGGTTAGAAAATATAACAAAGATTTGCTTGATCGAAAATATAATTTAGGATGAAAATATTACTGTATAATAAAAATTAACTAGGATTTATTTGCAACACAATATCATTCGATTTGAATCTACTACCGTATGATCAAATTTAACTAGGATTTATTTCCGCTATAATATTATTCAATTTGGTCCTATATTACTGTTTCACAAACTTGAACAAGATTATGGTTAAATGCGCTTTTAAATTTATAATAATGATGATAACGAAATTAAAGATTGTGTCTTAGAACAAGCTTTAAACAACACTTTTCTAAAAATCTGTTTTAATTTTCTCTTTACTTGATTTATTATTCATTATATTGTTTCAATTCTTCAAGGTTAGATATTTAGAAGTGTATTAAAAAAAGAAAAATACGACATTTAAATATTAGATTTATAACACTATCCCTAATAAAATTTGTCTAACAAAATTTGTTATTTACAAACGATGACAGTATTAGATCTGATATAAATTTATCTATTAGATTTTACATTTTAGTAAAGTCACAATTATTAACACAATAATACAAAAACTACTTATATTATTTTGCATCATTTTGTAATAATTTCCAACAATATGTAAGAGCTAAATTAGAATGTCTATTAGTTTTTTTATTTTTGTGACGTTATAGTCATTATGACACATTCTAAAGTAAACCACTCAAAATTGTTAAATTAAAATTAAGAATTTGATTAAGTCGTAATTTAGGATAATTTTTATAATACTCACATGAGATTTGTAGGCAAAGATGTTTTTTTTTCACACTTCAAGATGATCAACATTTATTGCATGTCATTGATTTCATGAATGTTCGCATTTTTTAAACAAAATTTTAAGAAATCCAGTTTATTTTTGTATTCAATAGCAATATCGATAATTGCTTTAAATGGACTTGTAACTAAATATATTTTCCCAGGTATATTTCTTGTTATTTTACCCGCAAATTCTTTGCAATTTCTTCCATTACACTTTGCACTATTCTCTATAGAACATTACTGAAGCTATTACTGCATTACTGAAGCTATAAAAGCAGACGAAAAATATCGAGTCAAATGAAATAAAGGAAAGCAGACGAAAATTAAATTATTTCAAAGCTAAGAAAATGGAGAAAAGAAAATCGTTTTCGTTTTAAATTTCTCAAAATTTATCGTTTGACATTTCATTATTTATCGTTCGATATAAGGGTTTGCATAAACTATTCGTAATGAATTATAACAATTTAAGGAATTAACATAGAGTTTAATAGTTAAGAAGTTACAAATTTTAAACCTCCGTCTTTGTAGCTTTAATAAAATATTTCACAAATTATTTTAATATTTAATAGACCAAATTATGCGACCAATAGTTTTCAAATGATTCATAAATGTTAATAAAAATAAAAATGCATAAAATCATTGAAACCTGACTAAAATCGTCTGCTCGGAAACTAAGTTGTTAACAATTTTTACACCTGACAAGAAATATGAAACTAATATTACGCTTCCATAAACATTATTTTTCGCGCGCAGGTCGTCGGGCTACAGAAGCGGGGGTGCCATCCCCTCCGCAAAGGATCAAAATTGTGATGGCATGTCTTCGGATCATCCTCCGGGATGTTTCCCAGACCGTCGCCAATAGCCCATTGTGCAGGTCTAGTGCGACGCAAACTAACAACAACAACTATAAACATTATTTAAATAATTTTAATCTTTTTTTAAAGAAGTTATCAGCACATTTGAGTTTGATTGATTTTTCATGTAATTTAACTACTTCGTGTTTGCTACTTATAGATTTTGAAATAAAATTCTATTCAATACTTACAACAATGGAACTTATTCGATATTTAAAACTTCGAATTTTTGTAGAAATTAACCTACATGAATTAAAGATATTAACAAGCATATTATTATACGCTCTATTTCAAAATTCAAGTAAATAAAATTTATTAATACGATGAGTTTAGTTTCTATGAAATTTCATCACTGTTTAAATGTAAAAATTTTTGAGGTCTATTTTCTTTCATTTATTTTAAGAATTTTTTTTACATGTTTTATTATTTCCATCAGAATTAAAAATCTTTTACTATCTGCTATCTTTTACTTTAAAATATTTACTAGACAATTTTAAAATCTCTGTAAATTGATAGCCGTTATATAATGTAAAAGTAAAAAAAGAGCTCTTAAAGCAGGTAGCTCAAAAAAATTTTGTTCGAAACACTATTTTGCTATTAACTATACATTTTATTTGCTTGTCTTATATTTTGCACTTTAAACATTCATAAAAAAAATAGCCAGAGGAACTTTATATGCTCTATAAAGTGTTTTGCTGGATAGTTTTACATTTTCAGAAACTGAAAAAGAATCACTGTTTCAATAAATGAAAATACTGCCATCAAAATATTTTCAACAAAACAGGGAAAAATAATAACAGAAAAATAATTATTTATTCGTAATAACATCCGAAATGTATTCGGTAAAAGCATCTTTTGGATTTGTTTTAAAATATTACTTTAAAGCAAGGCAAGTTTAAAATTCAGACAAAAGCTTATACGATGTTTATTACTTTCTGTCTCATTTATTTCTAAACAATAAATAACTCATTTTGCTTCATGAAATTCAGAAAATATTTGGGCTAAGATTTGAAGATATAGTTTCGTAAACTGTGAGTAATTTTTATTTAAAAAGTAATTACTTGTTTCAAAACAGGTGCTTATCTTCGGAAGATATGAGTGGTTCATCCATCTTGTTACGAAATTTTAATAACATGAATGTCTAAGTTTTCAACTTTATAACAAATAAAAAAGAAGGATAAATGAAAAACAGTATTTTAGTTTTATTGTAGAATAACGGAGTAATTTAGAACAGCCATTAAAATGTTTTTATGAAAATATTATTATTAATAAGTAATTATTAATTATTAATAAGTTTAATTATTTTACCATATTATATGCGATATATAATATGAAAATATCGATATTTCTTGCTATTTCACGATATTGCTCAGCGCTACTGTATAACAATCCATGTTTTCGCGAGAATGGTTAATGCAAAACGTAAACTAAAAGCAATCAACTTTGTAAAAATCTCGCTCATTGAATATTCTTATAAATTTTGTTTGCCTAACTCATAAATGGTACTTCCGACCTCCTATTTTATGGTACAAACTATAAATTATAACTCGTCGATAATTTTGTTCAGCAAAAACAGGGAAGATTCACGGAAAACATAATCATGATAGGGAAAAAAAATTTAATTGATAGGCGCTCTGCAGAAATATGACTTGTACATGATTCCTACTAACACGCTAAATTGCCAAAAAAAAACTTTTTTGTTTCAGGAGAAGATCCATTTAAACATCCACGAATACGATAACATTATTTCGAACTTTGGCGTTTCTCTTAACGATGGTATCCCCCCCTTGTCGCGACAACCATTAGATGTACCTACTACCACTAATAACAGATTTTATGTCCTTTTGATTCAATACTAATGGCCCTTTACGATACTCTTGGATGCAGACAACGAAGTTAAACGAAATGGTAGTTGCGGTTCACGATGAGTTCTAAAATAGGCATGATGCCTCATTCACTTGACGATGTACGAAAAAAATATTTAGGAAAAAACTTCGCAACAAAAAGGATTTAAAGTAAGTGGGCAGTAAAATTGAATCTAGTTTTATAGGAATTTTCCTCCATTCAAAGGTAATCAAACTTTCTAGAATAGTTATCTTGCTGGTATTTTCCTTTTTAATTTTTCTCGGCGTAATAGTAGAAAGGAAAGTTATTTTTCGTAATGCTGTTTATTTTATATCCTTTTTGAATTTGTAGAATTTTTGGAATTTGTTTATACACTGTTAAAATTTTCATTCTAAAATTATAGTAAAATAACCGGCAGCTGTCTGTCCATCCGATTAACCGTAAAGTTTACGGTGAAGAGCATTTTTTTTCTTTATGGTTTTGAAACCATTTACAATCAGTATGGTTATAAAACCATGAATACAAAACTATACAAGTTTTACCCATTTATAACTAGCATTTTCTAAAACATAAAGAAATTACTTATTTAACTAGACATAAGAGCTCGGCTTTTCGTAAGGTACTGGGCGTTGGAGAGTGTCGGACACTGGATATTCTTCGTGCGTTGAAGAGAATGGAGAAAACATTGTGGTTGTCAACACTATGACTCGAACTCCAGCTCTGCGGGTCATGAAATTGTCAGATAAGCCCGCTCGGTTATGATATGTATGCAGTTGCGACGAACTAAGTAGCTTCAGTTGATGGTTCTTGTTGGTGCGATAAAATTCTGGTTGCTTAACCGTATGAGGTGAAAGCAGTTAATAAACATTTTTTCTCAAATTTAACAGTTTGATTACCATTTTATTTATGGTTATTTCACTGTTTTGATTAAATGTGGCAAAATAACCATTCAATAAATTGTTATTTAGCCATTTTTTCCTAGAAATTTTTAACAGTGTAGAAAGGAAAGTTATCTTTGGTAATGCTGTTTATTTTTTATCGATTTTGAATTTGTAAAAAATTTTGTAATTTGTTTAGATGATATTTATTACTTTTTGTATTTGCAGTTTCCTGGGTGCCAGAAAGCATGCCAATCACTCTCTAATGAAAATAATTTGAGTGAGTATTATCAATTCAATTCTTCATATTTATTTGGTCATCCCAGACAAAATAAAAATATAGTAGTATCAAGTGTAGAGAATTTTCATTCTCAATTTTTAATCAGTCGTAAACAAAAAATTCTCGATTTTTATTCAAATATTTATATATGTTTCTATCTGCCATCAATTACATAGTGTTAGTTAAGCAGTTTTAGAGAATGCATACGCTTTTGATCCAATAAATAATTTTAGCAGAGGCGGTTTCTCAGTTTTTTTATTGATAATATTACTAAAAAAATGGAAAAATTTCCCATGTTGGGAGAAGTTGCAGGTCCGGAAAATATACTGGACAAATCAGATTTTCAAGTCGTTCAGTTCTTAAAATATAACTTAATTTTTCCAGCATTTTTTTGTATTTTCTGGTAGCAAAAAAGTAAGCATCCTCTTTTAAATAACTTATTTGTTCTTAATTTTATTTATTTCTTTATACTTTTAAATTAAAATTCTTATTTATTTATTAAATTTCACGTAATTAGTTTTAATAATTTTTCTTCCTTGGCTTTGGCTCATAGAAATTTAATTTATTCATTTTTTATATAGATTTTTTATTAAATCTTTCTTTCTTAAAATAGAATATGATGCTTAAAAATTGCATATAAAAAATTTCAACTTATCGTTAACGTCATCGTAAATGCCTGTTTTGTATTTTTAAATATTTTAATCTTTCCCACTTTATAAATGTATTCATTGTTTCTACTAAACAACGCCTATTATTTGAGCTCTAATCATTTCTGTTCATTTTTGAATATTTCAGACGAAACTAGAGTATCTAACTTGGCTGTAAAATCAGTGTATGACCTTAGTACTGATAGAGTATTGTTGGAATGGATGCCTAAGGAACAAGCTGATATGAGTGGGATAGTACTGTATTCAGTACTCTTGAAAGACAAAAATCAAGAATGGGAACAAATAGCTCAGGTATAAATAAATCAACAATTTTCCTAACTTATTAAACTTAGGTCAAAATTTCATGATTCTAACTTAATGATTAAAGCTAAGTTAAGGTTGCAGAGTATCTGTGCTTCGGGAAAGTCATGAAAAATCATGAAAAGTCATGAGTTTCGGTATTGAACAAAATTTGTCATGAAATGTTATGATTTTAACTATTTTTATAAAAAAAATCATGGCAAGTTATGGATTTAGGTCGCTGGAAAATCTAATTTTTAAAATGGAGTTTACCCCCTCCCCAATTTCATGTAGTTACGAATATCTGAATTTGTAACAAAATCCCGACTCACAGTCATATTTTATTAAAATATCGAATGTTTTTATAATGTTTTTTTAAAAATTATGGTGTTCTTTCAAAAAATGAAAGAAAAAACATCATTTCTAGAGCGAATTATTTTGTGAACTTTCAGAATTTTTGTTATTTTATTTAATGAATTTAAAATTCTAGCTAAAGCAAGCCAGTCATTGGCGAATTTTTTTTTTATTCCGAAATGAGAACAGAAAAATCTTGAGTATTTCTTCCTTTCTGATGAGCAAGAAAAGTATCTTTAGAATTTAATTCTGCAGAAAAAAAATATTTGCTTTTATATTTTATTGCTTCAACTCTTTCTTTACTCTGATTTTTAAATTTAAAATCTATAAATATGAAGATGCAGAGTTTAACAGTTTGGGTTATACCTATCATTTCGATTCATGTTCTTATAATGCTTTTTTAAATTCATTGCTGTGTTTTTGTCGGAGAAAATAGTAACTTCGTAAAGTCATGAAAAATTTTGGAATTAGTCATGAAAAGTCGTGAATTTAAAAATCTAACATATAGCAAATACTCTGTATGAGCTTCAAAATTTTAGTTTACCTTAACTATATAACAGGTACAAATTCATTTGNATGTTTTTATAATGCTTTTTTGAATTCATTGCTGTGTTTTTGTTGGAGAAAATAGTAACTTCGTAAAGTCATGAAAAATTTTGGAATTAGTCATGAAAAGTCGTGAATTTAAAAATCTAACATATAGCAAATACTCTGTATGAGCTTCAAAATTTTAGTTTACCTTAACTATATAACAGGTACAAATTCATTTGAAACTATCAATTTAATAACTCAATTTTATAGTTTTAGCTTAATAAATTTTTGAAAAAAATTCTTAAAATTGCTTAAAATTAACTCAATTTAAATTAATAACTTAAACTTAATAACTGAAACTTAAGTTAATTATTGCAACTGAACTTTATAACTTCAACTTGTAAATTTAAATAACTTAATTGTAAGTGTAATAAACTTATCTCGAACTTGAAAAACTTAAAAAAGAGTATCTTATTATGATGGAATTTAAGAAACTTTGAAAAACTTTTGAACTAAAAGCAAGTGTGTTGATTAAACAACGAACTTTTAAACGGAGTTCGCAGTGAATTACACAAATTTTGTTAGAACGTGTAATTATTTAAATGTAGGTTTAAAATTCCGAGAGTAATCATTTATAAAAGCCAAAGACTGTATTTATTTTGTAGACAATCCCTTATTGAGATGATTATTCTCATGCCGTGCGTGACGAGAACGATTGTGAATGGAAACTTGCTGAGAAACTCACGGTTGGTGGCAATAGTACATGAAAATAACTAACAATTAGTGTTTCATTGAGTTGCTAAACTGAAGTAGAAAAATTAGTTTACGTTTGTCCCATACGGCAATGTAATTGATTTTGTAAGATTAACGAAAATCAAAATGTAAATTTTAAAGTAAAATTTTTTATTTCAATTGTTTGATATCAAAACTACTACGTCTATTTGTTTAATATTTTACCGAAGGCACGCGAAAAAAAAGGAAAAAAACTAAATTAAGGTACATATTCTAAGTGCTACACTGTAAAAAATTTCGTATCGAATTACAGTATAAAGTACGGGCACTTAGGGTGCAATCCTCTAATCCATTTTTCCACAATATCCATTTTTACCATAAAATATTATACCGTAATTTTTACAGTAATAGTTACTTAATTAGATTTAATTCAGTGATTTTACGATAATTATTACTGTAAAAATTACGGTATATCAGATTTTTTTGGGTAAGATTTTGGTTTATCAGATTCAGTAAATATGGATTTTACGGTAAAAAGTACCGGTGCTCTGAATGCTGGTATGCTCTGAATGCTCTAATTTGAACTAGATTTATTCACAGTGTACTAACGAAAATAAAAAGAACGGAACACTTTAATAACTATCTCTGAATAAACAAAACTTTCCTCGGGTCAATTTGGATGCCTGCCCTCAAGGTCGCCATCTGGAAAATATGGTCACCTTAGTTTAGTCGGAAAAACACTAAAAAATTTTAACCCAGAAATTTAGCAAATTATTTTTTTTTTTTCCATAAAAATAGTCTACTAGAATTCTGAGTTAACAGAAACAAATAATATTAAATTCTCTTGTGTTATAAGCTGGTCTAAAGCATTTTATATTCAAGTAAGATGTATATTTAGTTCTAGATTATATTGAGTGAGCCCTTTTTCTCCTATGCTTACAAGTACTAAATTTTTAAATTGAACCCTAATAACCCTTGTAAGACATTCAAAAAAGTATTTTTTTAAAAATAGAATTAATTTGGTTTAAATCCAAAGGCCTTTTACTTAGCATGTACATTAATTATTTAATTCTTCTCATCTTTTAAGAGATTATCAAAATAATTTATTTCAGTTAACAGCTCATCTTTTGTCGGATTTGCTGTTACCAAAAGTCAACTTGTAATTTTGAATCCTACCTAGAAGACAAGGGAACTCCTGAATCAAGCATTCAAATAATTTCGCCTTTCTGAAAGATTTATTAATTGAAACTGCCCCTCATTTTCGGTACAAGGAGGAAAAACACCTGCAAACCTCCCACTATTAGCCTGACGGATATGGGATTCTAAATTATCCACTAATTAAATTTGTACTATGGTCTGTGAGAGTTTGGTAGTTCCGAACTTGGATTACCTACACCCTTACCCTTCAACCACCGAAAAATTACTATTTTAAATAAAAATCCATAAATCTTCCTCCCAATGAGGTGACCCAAATTCGAGTCCCATCAATGGTTGGCTGATACGTATACTGCTTCCTACTCGCCCTGACCACAGTGTTGATGTAAATTATCCTCAGTGGTAGACGGATCATGGGTTAGAGTCCCCTTGCTGGCAGGCTAACCGTGGGAGGTTCTCGTGGTCTTCCTCTCCATGTAACGCAAATGCTGGTTAGCTCCATCAAGAAGTCCTCCATGAAGGCAAATGTCTCCCAATACTTGATCCAAGAGTTTCCTTGTCTTCTGGATTGGGTTCTAAATTACTAGACTACGGGGTTGAACATTAGTAGTCGTAAACCAAAAAATTGGGTCGGCTGTTCACCTATGGTTATAAAATAAAATAAAATGCTTGATCCAGTAGTTTCTTTGTCTTCTAGGTTGAATTTAAAATTAAATAGCTACGGAGTTGAGCTTTGCTAGTCATAAACTCAGAATTGGTTCAACACCGTTTATGAAATAAAACAAAATTCTTTTTCTTATTTTTCAGTCCCCATAATTTATTGATTTTTTTTTTCAGACAACATCCCATGTTGTGCACATCAAGGGTAAAGTGATCAATAAAGATTCAGCAATTGGTTTACTTGCCGCCAATGCAACTCACCTTATATCTTATGCCGAAACGACCTATGTCAACAGTTTAATTCACAACTACAAATCTCCAGGCTACACTCGTGAAGGATCTTGGGGTCCTCATCTAATGTCTTTAGAACGCAGTAAAAATTCTCACAGTTTGTTGGCAACTATTACTTGGTCACAAACACCAAATGATCTAGGTCTCACAGAATACGAAGTTTCATGGAATGTAATGGACGACGCTATGGAAGTCACCGGACATTTAGTCACAGCCAACAACATATCTGTTTTAACTCTTTGGCCTGATTCGATTTATTTAGTTCAGGTAATATATTTTTCAATTTAAAAAAAAAAATTTATAGCAAAATTAATGAAACCTCACTAAGGATATAAGAATCTAGATTTTTATTACAAAACAAGATGGTTCGACACTGTTAGAAATTTTGGTATGATTTAAACCATATGTGAGAGATTTTGTGTAGAGTTTGTCGCATGTTAACGTTAATCTTATTTTTTAACCAGCAGCGATTTGTTGAGAAACTTTCACGCATGTGCTGTGAAGTTCAAATAGCATTAACGATCGAGCTGGAGGGAACTGTAACGCTTTCCAAACTCTGTTTAATCGTAAAAATTTGAACAGTATGGTTCTAAGTTGTGTCATAATATGGTGCAAATTAAACAGTCTTAAGCTCAATTACACGATATTATTGTACAATATGATCCGATATATTATTAAACTGCAGCAGCAACTTCTAAGCAAAGCATTTTTTAAGTATTCTCCAATTGAGGTTCTTATACTCATTACTAGTAAAAAAAGTTTTTTTTATTTGCCTAATTCAGTGAAGCTATTTTTTTACGTTATTAATACTATTAGTACTTTTTTCCTACGTTTATAACAGATAGTTGCTAAAAAAATCTATTTCTTTTTCTGAGAAAAATTAAATGAAATTCAAAATATAATAATTATTATTATTTTAAAATAAATTTTGTTTTATTTTAAATTATTTCAGTTCTTTAAATTTTACTTTTTTTCTAAGCAAACAGTGAAACAGTGAAAAGCAAAAAAAAAAAAAAAAAAAAAAAAAAAAAAAAAAAAAAAAAAAAAAAAAAAAAAAAAAAATCATCCAAGATAATTCAGTTAAGGAAAATTTAATGAACATTACATAAAATGTACCCATGCTAAACACACTGATCAAAATTTTAATTAGCATAGCAAACAAAAGATTTTTCAGCCTGGCTTTTAGGAGAAATTTCTCTTTTAATTCGATTTTAAATCCTCTTCCTGAACAATCGAAAGAATCGAGAACTAAGTTAGCTAATTAAAGCAATAAGAAATTCCGCAAACTGTATTATAGTTCATTTCAGCGCGGGAGTAAGAAGAGAAACCTCTCCGCGCTTGACATTGAGACAACCCTTAATGCTCACCGAACACAAATAGCGACTTCTTTTTCAGTCACTTACTTCGCTTTATTATCTGCTACTATACCCTTCGTTTCTCTAGCTAATTAAATATATTTTAAATTTAAAAACTGCTTTTTTTCCCAGCAAAATTTCTCAAAAAGGACAAACTATTCATTCAAAAGAGAGAAATACTATAAAAAATGGTGCGAAATATCATCAGATTTATGAAATATTCAATGTTAAAAAAATGCATATAAAGTTTGCGAAATAAATATTTTTGCCATACGATCGTTAGCAACCTTCTCCTAAAAATAACGAAATAGTATTGTCGCATACCACGTGATGAAGGCGGAACCAAGTGCCAACTCCTGGTGAACGAGCTATAGTATTGTGATATAATAATATAATCCTTACTGAATCCAGCAAAACTTTTCGTGCACATTTTTGCACTTAAATTTCAAATAATTACATAATTTGATTGTGGAGATAGTGACTATTGACAATGTCAACCTTCATCCATGAAAAGGTACCCCACCATAGAATACATGTCTTATATACTAGTGAATTGGAATTGTATTTTTGTAGTGGTAGATTGATAACATGGAAGTGATAATAAATTGTACAAAGTATTTATTTTTATTTACAGGTCAAAAGATATACTCCATCTGGAGAGGGATATGAAGAAACTAGTGAACCCCTTGTTATCGATACTAAGTTCGTTGATAATTATCCAATCATATCAGAGTCTACTTTTTACAAATGCGAAGGTAAGATAACAAAAATTAATATTTAACACAGGCTGACAATTATGGAGCTCTATGAAAAATAAATTATTGATAACTTTTGAACCATTGTTGAAATTTAATAACAACCAGGTTGTTATATTTTTTTTTCTTTTGAAGCCAGTGCATTTTCAGTGCTGAAATAAAAACTTATCACCCTGAATAACTTTTGATCTAATTGTCGAATCGTCAGGACTTAGAGGACTTAATCTTAAGGGTTTAAAAGGGTGACCTTTTAAATAGTTATAATTAGTGCAGACGGTCTTTTAAGTTTCGAAATCATACACAAAACGTACCTTCTCTGAAAAAACGTAATTTTTTTTTTTTTTTTTTTTTTTGGCTGATTCGGATTTCAAACTTCTAAAATATATCAAATTTTAAATACCAGACTTTTTTAAAATTTTATTTCTCAGGAGCGATTCGACTGGTTTCTCACTTTTTTTTTAAATTTTGCAATCTAAATTGTATTCTTTAAAATGATGTAAGAAATTATGCGCCTTACAAATCAAAATTTTTCCGACTTTTATGAAATAAAATAAAATCAAATAAATACTTACTGAAAATTATATTTTGCATTGAACGAATTTCATAATTGTAAACGAATTTCATAATTGTGTGAAAATTTTTTTTTAATTTGCTTAAAAAGTTCTCTAGATATGGTGAAATACGCAAAAAGTACAGTTGACATTAAGGGAGTATAAATCAAAGTTTTACCCCGTCCTGCCACGGGCAGGGGTCATCCGGAGAAACATCCCATAATATGTACAGAGAGGGTCGGTAGGGCGCTGGGCCCATTAGGCATGGTCGGGTAATGGGCCCAGCGCATGGGTCTCATGGTAGGGCGCATGGGTCGGCTGTTACCCATCCAAGAGGTCGTGGGTTCGATCCTCGCCGGCCGAAGACTCCCCGTGTAGTAAATGGTGACTGATGCACGTTATATCTGTCGAGTCTCAAAGTNTATTCTTTAAAATGATGTAAGAAATTATGCACCTTACAAATCAAAATTTTTCCGACTGTTATGAAATAAAATAAAATCAAATAAATACTTACTGAAAATTATATTTTGCATAGAATTATCTTTGGATAAACGAATTTCATAATTGTGTGAAAAAAATTTTTTAATTCGCTTAAAAAGTTCTCTAGATATGGTGAAATACGCAAAGAGTACAGTTAACATTAAGGGAGTATAAATCAAAGTTTTACCCCGTCCTGCCACGGTCAGGGGTCATCCGGGGAAACATCCCATAATACTGGAGCTCCCTTTTTTTGGGGAGCCAAAATTCGAATCCGTCGTAAAAGGTATGTTTATTCAGAGAAAGTACGTTTTAGTGTCCGATTTAGTAATTTAAAATATAGTTTGCACTAATTAATTAGCATATTTGAAGTCGCCTCCTCGAACCATTAAGATTGAGTCCTTGAACGGGAAAATCAGATCATTAGATCAAAAGTTATTTAAAGTTATCCATTTTTTTTATGTTGCGCACTGTACATTTTTTTGGTGAAAATGTCTGAATACTGCGCTCCTTTGCGTACTTCAATTGTCAAAGACGACAAATTCTCAACTTTTGCGACAAAATGTTGCAGAGAAATATAGAAAACTCATGCAAACAGACTCGCAACTTTCACTCCCATAACTGCAATCATTGAAAGTTATGTTTCGTGACTTCAGCGAGTTTTGCAGAATTTCGCTACTCGTCCGAGTTTTGTTATATGCCAAATTTATTATATTTTTAACCCGAGTATCTGTATTTACTTTTAAAGTTAGAAAAAAATTTTTGAACTCAATAGTATTAAAAATTTTATGTTTTATATCATATTGCTCAATGCTTCTCAACCTGTGCTTTTCTAATGATAAATTCCAGAAAGTGAAAAGTATTAAATCACTTTCATTATTCTATGAAAATTATCATCTTCGGAGGTAAGTTAGCTTTTATATAATCTAGCTTTTTGTCGAGAATTCCGAGGAAAATGCTAATTTAATTCAGGTAAGAAGTTTTTTGTCGTCAAAATATTTGCAACATTGTTTGCATAGGGCTTATTTTCTTACGGGTTTGTATTTTTCTCTAAACTGTATAGTCTATTTCAAGATAGTGATAAATCAAATTTTTAATATTTTTTGAAAAACAAAAATGTGGTGTCTAATTTTGCTCATTAATCTGTTTCTGGAATGAAAAATAAATGTATTTCGCTTTATGTTCTTCATAGTTATTTCGCTTTATCTCAAGAACTTTTAAAGCGAATCGAACATTTTTTATCCACAATTATAGAATTCATTTATCCAAAAATAATTCCTTGTATAAAATTTTTTTTTAATTATTATTTAATATTTTTTGTTATTTTATTTTAAAACAATCGAAAAATTTTAAATTGTAAGACATACGAATTTCTATATCATTTTAAAATCAGTAATTTCAAATGACAAAATTTGAACGAATGGCTCGAATTATTTCTGAGATATTCTTTTTAAAAAGTGAAAAATTTGGTCTCTCGAAAATATTATTGGGTAATAAAAATTCTGTTAAATAAAAATATTTGTTTTCTACCTAAACAAGATAAATAATGGTAAACCCTTGAATAATTTGCAAAAGGAAATTCTATTCGAAAATAAAACTTAATTACTACATAAAAAGCTGATTGCGAAACATTATCGAAAATATTTAAAGATAACTTGTTGCTCAGTGAAATTTCAAGTTTAAACTGAGTAATTTAATAATAACTCGTAACAAAATCTGTTTTTTTTTTTTTTTTTTTTTTTTTTTTTTTTTTTTTTTTTTTTTTTTTTTTTTTTTTTTTTNCTAGAAATATTAACCACTTCAAAAAAAATGGGTCCCGGCCAGAAAATTTATGGAAATTTCTTTAGAAATTCAGTCAATGTAAACGAAATTAAAAGTATGCGTGAAAAAGGTCTGATTTTTTATCAAAATTTTATTTCCGCTAGAATGATTAGATTACATCCTTTCATTTCTTAGAAAAATCTTTTCTTTGCACTTTATGAGATACTGCAGTTAGATGAAGAAGAAAAAAAAAGAAACTTTCATGAGAACTCAGTGCTGAAGAAAAAAAAAAGCACCGCTAAAATTCGTTTGTGGGAATTTTAGATGAGAAAAAAATAATTTAATTATAAAAAAGGCTAAGGGTTATTAGAAGATATTTGGGTGTTTTACTAAAGAGCTTAAAAAACATTGAAAAAGAGGCTATTGAATTCAAGACAAAAAAAACGATTGTCAGCATTACGACGTGATAATTTGGTAATTACTAGTCAGCACCTATTTTAGCGTATTGGCTTTTTTTTTTTATAATTTTTTAAAAGTTTCCTAGCTGTTCTCTTTAATTAAAATAAAGGAAAAATCTCATATATTGAAAAATTAGTTTATTTTTACAATAAAGTAGTGGAGAATATTTATCATACTTTGGATTAATATTTGTAATTATTTATTTAAAAACTTTTTTTTCCCGTTAATTAAAAATTTTAGTTTTAAATAAATATTTTTCAGGTGAATTAAAATTTTTTTATTTAATTTAATTAAATTTCATAAATTAAAAATTTAATTATTTTATTTAATTCATTAAATTAAAAATTATTTATTTAAAACTGAACAAAGCAAGAACTAGTTTTTCTGTTCTTTTTTTTTTAAATACCTGAGTAATTTAAAATAAATGAACTCAAAAGATTTTCTCATGGATCGAAATTTCCTAAAAAGTAACTTTTGAGCACGGTGGCTCAGGGGATAGAGCCCTCGCCTCACAATGAAGTATCCCGGGTTCGAATGCCAGCGATGGCTGGTCGATGGGAATTCCGACCGATACCGACCACAGTGCCGACGTAAAATATTCTCAATAGTAGACAGATTATGGGTTAGAGTCACCTTGCCATCTGACAAACCGATGAAAGTTTTCCTGGCTTTCTTCTTTATGTAACGCAAGTGCGGGACAGTTCCATAAAAAAGTGCTCCACGAAAGCAAATTTCACCCAATACTGGATCCAAGAGTTTCCTTGTCTTCTGGATAGGGTTCACAAATGCGAGGCTACGAAGTTAAACATTGCTAGGCGTAAGCTCGAAATTGGATTGTCTGTTCAACAATATATATATATATATATATATTACAGGAAGCCACCAAATGAAGCCGAGATGTACGTCCCAGTGACGAGAGTGTAAGAGAGGGGAATGATAGTAAAAATGTAAAATTGTTCATTAGTGTTCTGTAAGCCTCTCAGTGTCATAGTCGAATAATTATGACTCAGACGCATGTGGATGATTTTTTACGGGGTATTATCGACGATATATTACGTGGTATTATCAACTGCTTGGAATGTGGTTGTACTCAAATGGAAATATCCGAGGAGCTTGGAATTGCCTAAAGTGTCTTCTTTAAGCTTGGCAACAATTCCAAGATGATGTAAATGTCAGTACACGTTACAGTGCAGATCGTTCCCAAGTTACGACGTTGAATGAGACCACTGTTTGGCAGTAACTGCCAANAAAAAAAGTTTTAATGTTTCCCAGACCGTCGCCAATAGCCCATTGTGCAGCTCTAGTGCGACGTAAATGAACAAAAACAAAAAAACAAATAGGGAAAACGTTATACTCTACATTGTAAAACAATTTGGTGTATTATTGCCCCCAATTTTGATGTTGAAATAAACTAAATTTTTCTTATAGTGCACATAGTCACATTTTTTATTTACTGTTTCCCAGTTATAGTATCGTTTATTTATTCTTTTTTGTTTATTTATTACACATATTTTCAAGTGCATTGATATCAATTCTATAGCTTCATTGCAAAATCGTTTCGTCTAAATACCAAACTCATTTTTAGTAATATATAAGCACAAATTCTTTCAAACAATTGTTATTTTATAATTTTTAAATATTTTTGTAACGATAACTTCAGTTATGTACTTAAAAAAAGTATTTAATTTACTTCAACACCGAAAATGGGGGCAGCTATCAACCAAAACTTTTTAAAGTGAGGATTACAATTAACAGTCAATAATAGATAAATGATTTTATAAACGATATTACTTATTTAACAATATGTTTGTTTTTGTTGATATACGTATAAATTATTTTGATTGTTTTTATGTATGTATTATTTTTTTCCTTTCAGCTTATAAGCTCAGAGAAAGGACTTTTTGGATTTTGAGCATAATTTTGGCATTATTTGGAGCAATAATTTGTTTTATTGGAATCAGACATCGAATGCTAACTCAACAAATTAAAATCCAAAACCAAACTTCACACCCAAAAGGTAAGAAGAATTTTTTTTTTTTTGTCTTATGATCTCCAAATAACATCTAAAATCTAAACTTTTGCAATACGAAGGTTTTCCAATCTTGAAACTATAATTTTATGAAATCAATTTTGTTTTAGTTTAAGTTTGTATCACATAATTCTTTATCCTTATAATTTTGAACCTATTTTGGAACTTTTTGGAGAATAATTAGAAAGAAATTTTATTTTACTTTATAAACATTCACATAGTGGACTGATCGCAAAGATAGGATTCCCACTAGAACACTGTATTCAAGCATCACTAGCAGAGGTCAGTAAGCCAGGGGGTGACCACTTTAATCAGCCAGCGTAGGAACCGAGGGTGCGCGGTATCGGTATTGTAAGGAGCTCGACTTCACGAGCAGGTCATCGGGCTACCGAAGCGCGGGTGCCATCCCCTCTGCTGAGGATCAAAATTGTGATGGCATGTCTTCCGGTCATACTTAGGGATGTTTCCCAAACCGTCAGCAATAGCCCATTGTGCAGCTCAAGTGCAACGTAAATAATGTTAAAATTGAGAATGATAAGTCACAAACTTGAATACAGATACAGATACTTGATTTAAATACAGTATTTCAGTGATACTGTATTAATAACGCTTTCTGGTTCTGCCTTTTAACAAAAGTTGATATCACTATTTTTTCTATTATAAATTAGGTATCTCAAAATCAAATGTATTTGTTTTAAGGTTCATGCCAGTAATAGTTAAATGACATCTTCAATTGTTTTTTTTTTTTTTTCATCAATGGTCATGAAAAGTACAAGTTTTATTTCATTTATTATTTCCAATAGTAATTTTAGCCATCGTAAGATTTGCCATAGATTTTATACAATATCCACTTGCAACCAATTCAAAAAACCAGTTCAACATAGAATTGAATCATAATCCATGCAAATTTGTCAAAAAGAGGTTAAATTGAACCATGTTTCCATTCAAATAAAACTGTATTATCAAGTTTAGGAAGCACAGTGGTACTGTTAAAAACTTAGCCAAGATTGTAATGCATTGGAATGATACCATGATTCAACTGACTCAAAAGTGTTTTACAGTATAGGAAGTAGTCATAATCTATAAATCTCTCATGTGGTTCTTTGTATTTTCACTTGTTCACATTTTCTGCGATGCAAAACATGATATTGCATCAATATCATTCCATATTAAGATTGCAATATATTTGCGTTACATACACAAAATATGAATATATTCATAATCTCTGAATGTTTTACGTGGTTCTTCGTATTTCCGATTATTCCAACAACAAAAAAATTATCAGAATTTATATACAGTACGCACTATAAGATTCTATGTAAAATTATAATTATCAGGTAATACTATCAAGTATACTATACAACTGTATTGTTTTTACTCGTATGAAACCGGTTTGCATTTGTTTACGCTCCTGGATCAATGGGTTAACATTGTAATGCAATACGTTAAAAATAAATATAAATAGGAAATATATTAAAAATCTCCTGAATAAAAACCCATCCCATTTATGTTTAAATATAAAAGTATTGCGTATAAACTCGTACAAATCATGTAATTATTAAAACACTACAGTGCGTCTAAGAATTTGATCTAATTATTATAATATACTGATATAGTGCTTGATGTAATAAATATTCTATATTTATATAATATATCGTCTAATTTATCCTATCGTCAAATTTATATTATATAGTGTCTAATTTAACCAATTGATACACTAACGTAAGCAAGTGCAAACCGGTTTCAGTCGGTTAAAAACAATAAAGCTGTATAGTATTACCTGATCATTAAGATTTTACATAGAATCTTAGAGTGTGTCTAATAATTTGGTCAGGCTCTGTATTTATTAACATATTTATTTCATAAACTTTGCAATATTTATGTTTTGCTCACTGTTACCAAATTTCTATTTTCAGAGAAAAATACTCTCCAACATTTTCTGAAGAAAACATTATGCAAGGCAAGTTTATTCCAAAAACAGGCAGAAAAAACCTTTACCACGCAATCATCAAATTTGAAGCCTGAAATCTATCACGTTGTTTAGATGAAATTCATGTTCCTAGTGATTGTTAATACTAAGTGATCTCTATATGTCTTCTACAATTTTTCAATCCATAATTTTAAACTAGTAAATGGGTGCAATAAGTTTGATCTACAAGATACTCTAAATGTGAAATAATTCCTAAAATAAGTGTTGAACATGGACTTTAAACATCTTTTAATACATCTTATATTCTTCATTATTAATTATTTTACTTAGTTCCATGCATTGTATAAAAATTTCATTAGAATATCATTTTTGATGGCTGTATAACACTTTTAAACGATTTTCCTAAAATCCCTAAAGAGGTGATAAGTTTTGCCAGTAAAGTGAAGTTAATCATATTCCCTAAAGAGGTGATACATTTTACCAGTAAAGTGAAGTTACTCATATTCCTTAAAGAGGTGATACATTTTGCCAGTAAAGTGAAGTTACTCATATTCCCTAAAGAGATTATAAGTTTCGCCAGTAATGCGAAACTTATATAAAAATAATGAAATCTGGTAACTTAATAATCTATGTACCTAACCTCATTTTTTTGTCATGCTAATTTCATCGAGTGTTACAGAAAAATTTATCTAAGCACCAATCAATTGTGTATAATATTGAGGAACAAAATGTCAATCATTGTCAATCAAATGTCTGGTATCTGACATCATTTTTGTGTACAACTCAATGGTGAAATATATAATCAACACCAGGTTAAATGTGTGCAAGTTTCATATCAGAAATGCAGTAACCTATTAGCAGGTCCACATATCTGAAATAATTTTTTGGTAGTTCTCACTACATGATTGATTCTATCGTGATTGATACTAAAATTTAGATAAGATTGACAGCAGAATAAAAAACCTTTCCGCAAATTCATGTATCTTTTTTCGTACCTTTGGCAAAATGTATTGTGAATGCCAATGAAATGTGCATGATATTGATGCTAGAAATATAGACATTTTTCAGCAAGTTCCCATATCTTATGTCATGTATTTTTCACTGGTGAAATTCATAGCCTGTTGCACACAGAATCTCTTTCGCTAAAATTAAATAATGTAAGATGATAATTAGGAAAGTCTCCCTTTTTAATTAATAATATTATTTCTATAAATTTCGCCAAATTTAATCTCCAACTATTGATGACTATTAATAATTATAAAATAAAAGCTGTAAGCGCAAAACTCATAAATTCCGAGAAAAATTTATTTAAAATTTGTAAGACAATGCTACTAGCTACAACAAGCACAAATATAATACATATGCTAAAACTTTCAATCCTCAAACCGATTACAAAAATGGCAGAAGATTTGAAAAACCAATTTAAAATAACAGAAGGAGATAGAATTGTACGATTTTCTACGTTCTACTAATAAACCAGATCTTTTTCATGCCAAATTTCAAAGCTAGTTACAAAATTGGTCAACAGAGGGCGACATGACAGAGAAACTATAAGCAATGCTCTCTGCTGCATGTCAGACAATTTCAACTCATATATTTGCTAAGACGTCTGTTAATTTTGTCATCAGACTTGCGAACGTTGTTGCGTAAATGTTGATCATTTTCAAAACAATGTTTTCCAGTTTTCTCAGGTACTAATGCCATATGTCGACAAATTTCGAAACGTTTTAAAAATAAGCATCTAGTTTCTCCAGCGCTACAAACAGCTAGAATTCTAGAACACAGCAAACCATACATTTTTATCTCCTATCATTTGTTTAAAATTGATTGTTGCTCATTTTTGGAATACACATTGTATTTCATTGACATTACAACAAAAAAAGAAAAAAACTTTACTACTTATTTTTTCTAATGCAAACCGCAATTATTGTTACAGTCAAACTTAGTCATATGGAATGAATTATATCAAACCAAATATTTACATACTAGGATCACACTGTATCACTGTAAATATTTGAAAAAGTTTCCTATGTAATTATAATTGAATGGATAGTGTGATTAAAACTAATCAATTGCTTGAAACATTTGTATATAGCTTATTTTTCTGTGATCTAATTGCGTCTATTTTGTGATATGGTATTTGACTGGTTTTTTTTATGGAAAATGTTTCAAATGCCAAAAATGCTTTGCTGAGGGACTTTGTAATTGAATCTTTGAAAGAATATCACAGTGTAATATATCTTAATGTGAATATGTAAATATTTTTCTTGTATGTATATACAAGTTATTTTTATAAATATGAAGTTGAATAAACTTTCATTCAAAAAGCAATTGTGTTTTCTGTTTTAAAGATTATAAATACTATTAAAAACAAAATTAAGGGGTAAATCTGAACACAAGGTAAATTCAGGTGCACAAACTTTTAGAAACAACCAAATGAAATTAAGAAAGACTATAGGTTTATGCAGTTTGTAGCGTTCGAAAATTGGGCTAAAAAATTGAGAGGGGAGATTAAGTCATTTTTATAAGTACGCAGTTTAATAAACTTTCATTTTAAAAAAATGCATTTTATACTTAAAAAACTTTGGGTAATTATTGTATTATTCGGCAGCACAATATCTTTAAAAAAAAAGTGGTAAATAAAGAAGATTATTAGATTAAAAGAAATAGCGCTTGATAATTTTTATAATTTGTACGAAATTTTCCTCAAAACTTTAAAACAATAAAAATATACAATTTATGGTTTTGAATCAGTAATTTAAAACTCTATCTTGTCAGTTTTTATATTTTTAAAATGTAATTTTATTACAGATTAAACTTATGAAAATCGATTTGGATCATTCTTATAACCATAATTACACAAAAACAAAGAAATTATTACAACAACAAATTGTCAAAAATTTAAAAAACAGACAAATGGATATTAATAACTTCAAATAGTAGTTACATTTGTAGTTTATACTATGTTTTAAACAAATTGGTGGCATACTGAATGAAAAATTTCTTTAGAAAAAATGCGCAATCGGAAACAATAAACACAGGCAAAAACATCTAAGTGTAATGGAAACTTCATTAATAACATAAATTGCTGAGTTTTAAACCAAATCGAGTGAAAATTTATGAAATTATCACGTTTGTCTTATTAAACATTATGGAAAGTTGCAAAATTGTAAAATTTGAAAGAAAAAAAAACCAAGTTTTTTAATTTTAATTTTTTACGTTATCTAAAATTTAAAATGATATCGAAAAAGCCCTCTTTTAAGTCCTACACCATATTGCACGGGGATGCAAAAATAAAGGTCGCTGTAAATCCTAGCTTCACCTCTGGTTGTTCATAAAATATAATTTAAAGTTTTCAAAATCTTATTCAATGTACTCTTCATAACCCAATGTCAAACAAGTTGAATTTCATCAATTATAACATAATCTAAAATTATAATCATTTAAATCTGTTGAAAGTCTATCTACCAGTACAAAAATATAATTCCAATTCACTAGTATATAAGAGATGTTAAAAAATATTCTATGGCGGGGTACCTTTTCATAGATTGTCGTCGATAACTGCTATCCTCACATTGGTGACCCGGACGTGATGTGAGCAAGCCTGCCTTGACAGAAACTCCCACTTCGATTTGAACACGACTACTTCGATGGATGGTTCACATTGAACAGTTGACTTGTTACTTGTGACTACGACATTATCCACCTCCTCGCGCTTTTGCTACTTAGTCTCGATCACACACAATGTACAACCTATTCACTCGACAGCTAAAGGCAACACAAGAGCAACCGTGAACTTAATACAGCCCTAACGATCAGCACTCAAAAGTACGGTGATCTTAAAACAGCTCTCCCGGCTTCTCACGACAAGTGAAATGAATCAACTAGGGGTATCCGTTCATCGAATTCTATCACAGTAATAATTCTGGTGGGGGAGCGGTAAATACACTACAAAGGTATTTCATACTATAATTAATCAACTAAAACTAGCAAAATGTTTTTCTTATAGTTTTTATTACTTAATTTTACACACAATAGCTCTCATGTTGACACAAGTTTGAAGTTTAAATCTTCAATGTATTTAAATCGGTTTGTCCGTAAACTATTTACTAAGTAATAGCTAGCTGACATTATTGGCTTAATAATTCTTTAATTTTGAAAAGATGATAAAATTTTTATGATGAATAGGATCATAATTTACTTATTAGACTCGGGCCCCGTAATACCGTGCTAAGGCTTTAAAAACTGGCAAAACCTACTTTTAGTCTTTAATTTAATGCTATTAAATTTTAATTAATAATTTTATCATAACAATTACAATGTTTTATTTCTTCGCTATATCTCGAAAAAAATTTTTTTTTTATTTATTTAATGAAAAATGCAATTCAAACACTAGTGACAAAAGTAGCAAAAATAAAAGTTTGTTGAATTCATAATTGAGTCTGACTTATAAGTTATAAATATGAATCCTATAAAGTGCCTTTTAAATATTTTAAATCATATCATCTTTACATCTAACCTTCTTTAGCCAAAGTATTTAATATGCAATGCATTTTCATTGATTACTTATTCAAAAAATACGTTTCCAATATTAAAGTTTGATTTATTCGCTTAACATTAAACTTCATAGATGGCGCCACCAAATATATTGTAAAATCTTGATATCGCATTCCAATTCAAATGTTACACTTTGTTAAAAGTTTTCTAGATGGCGCCATTAAAAAAATTTGAATTTGTAAAAAATGTGTCGCAAATTTTCTTTTAAAAATGTCTGCTTCATATTGTTGTCAAATTCCCTAACTCCCAAGTTCTTTAAAAAAAAACTGCAAAAGATAAATCAGACAGAATTTATGATTTAATTTTTAGGTTACTGTTTCAGCATAGTCTGTAATCAATTTTTTAAAAATATTCTGTAGGAGACACATAGTTACACTTTAAAAAAAAAAAAATTCAGTGAACATCGAAATAAATAAAATTGAAAGGCACAGATTGAACATTCAATAAGTGGTAATGATTAATTAGACAGTTTTAAAAAGAATTGGTTCAGTTAACAAACATACACTTTTGAAATATCAATTTTCAGTCTTTTTCCTATCAAGAAAATGCAGAAATGTATATTCGTTTTCCACAGACATTTCACTTAAAATGGCTCGTCAGTTTTTTAAACATTTTTTTATAAGAGACGCATAGTTAAAAAAAATTTCAATGAGTAAGAGATTAATTTTAGAAAAAAATTTCTAAAATTTATAAAATTGAAATGCACGGATTGAACATTAATTAAATGATAGCGATTATTTATGCTACTTTAAATAAAATTTGTTCAGTGTTTTTCCAATGAAGAAATTGTAAAAATGTGTATTCATTTTTCACAGACATGTCACTTAAAATGAGTCATCACATGATATAAAATTTATTAAATAAGATTTATTATATATTTTTCATATCTCAAATAGATCCCATGTGGTCTAGTGGTTAGGATTCGTGGCTTTCACCCACGCGGCCCGGGTTCGATTCCCGGCATGGGAAAATTTTTCTCTCTGATAATAAATTCAAATTAATTTTAAAGATTTTCATTATTTTTCAAATTTTTTTTTTCTTTTCATATAAATTTTTATGCTTATGCTCTTTTGTTTAAACAATTCTGAACATCTGTCTTTAAAGAAACCATTTTTTATTTTTTAATCAACCGACATCCTGGACGCTCAACGATTTTTAACATAAATAATAATTACAATAGATATATTTATACCTTCTCAGTACATCAAATTCAAATCCTTTTCCAAAGGTACAAAAAAAAAATTATTGTATGCATAACATAGATGGTACAAAAATTTGTTCCATCTGAGACTAGCAAATATCAATCAGTTTATGTTTATACCTATAGTTCCCCTAACTTCGCATCCTAAGATTCTGAAAACTATTTACAAAAATTTATTAAATGTGATTTTATTTATTTATATTCAATAAAATCTGGATAAAATTTTAATTTACTTTCAAATAGATTTTTAATGTTTTGAAGAGCTGGAAGAAATCATGGTTTTTCTAAAGGTAGCATTTTTGCTTCAGACGATTTGTCAGAATTTTTTTCGAATAGGTACTTCACAAATTTTCGGAATTTCTACTACATAACAACATAATACATCGAAACATTTACCTACTGACATAGAAATCGTGATGTTTTTTTTTATTTTTTTTTTAATCATAAACGCCTTCCTGAACAATTTAAAAATGTGGTTTACCATATCTTGCTCTAAGCCTTTCAGTTGAATCATAAAGAGAAATTATGCAATTAAAAAAGAGTTTCTTCTACTAGGGTTGAAAGAAATCTACTTCATCTGGGACTGTTTCTACATTATTTTTTTTTACCATTACTGTCCCACATGTTTTAGTACTAATGGTTTAGTAATAGTAAATAATGAGTATACGTTTTTCTTTCATTTTAACATAGTTTTCAAAATGTATTTTTTAATATAATGTAGAACTAAATTGATTAATATAATAATAATTAATTAATAAAATAAATAGAATTTGTGAGCTGTAGAGCATTAGATTAGAAAGAAATAAAATAGAAAGTGTCTAGTAGCTTCTGTCCATATACTGAATTAAATGGGAAGATTCAGCCTGTTAAACTTGCTTTTTTTTTCTATAAAAAACACCGTCTATTTTTTAATAATTTACTTTTAGTATTTATATAAGTACTTGGGGGATATTTCCGTATCGTGATCTGTCGCGACAACTACATTCGCCNAAAAAAAAAAAAAAAAAAAAAAAAAAAAAAAAAAAAAAAAAAAAAAAAACATGTAGATGTTTGCCTGGGGGTGATACGATTTATACCTTTCGATTTGGTCCCTTTCGGTGATGCTTTTTTAGTTTCTTGCAGGGCACTACCCGGAAGTTTCCAAGACTTGGTGATTATTCTGCCACGGATCACGATACGGAAATAATACTTGAAGAAAAAAAAACTCAATTTTCAATAAATTAAAATTCTTTCATTTTGAATCTGTATTACTGAATCACCACTGTGAATCTATATTACTTAAAATAAACAGCAATACATAATATTTAAATATTTGTGCATCATTCGGTTCTTGCAAAAACATCGAAACAAAATAGTCACCAAATTTAAGGTAGTGTCATGATGCAGGGCCGTCTCGCATAATGTCTCTAAAAATATTTAAAATAAAATTGAGCGTTATCAAAACAGCATTCTGAATTTTAATTAGTTAAATAACATAAATATTGAACAAATTAAGATAAAACGTTTGAGAAACTTAGTTTTATCTAGTTAATTTTTGATGATCAGATCTTATCGTTTCAGAACTCAATCTTAATGGTTCAAAGGAGAGTCCTCAAATATGTTAATTAATTAGCGCAGACGTTATTTTAAGTAACGAAATCAGTAACAAAAATGCACTTACTTTCAATGAACTTATCCTTTTTTCGCAGGATTCGGATTTTTGAGCCCAAAATATGCGCAATTTAGGAAACATGAACTCAATAGTTTGGATCTCTTAATATTATTTTAACTGTTAACTTTTTTTTACCATATCTCGAGTATTTTTTAAGCGAATTAAAAAAAATTTTGCACACAATTATAAAATCCGTTTATCCAAAGAAAATTCTATGCAAAAAAATAACTTTTAGTAAACATTTATTATTTTTTTATAATTTTATTTAATAATAATCGAAAAAATTTGAATTGTAAGGTATACATTTTTTTACATCATTTCAAAAAATGCAATAATTTTGCATTGCAAAATAAATAAAAAAATTTAAGTGAAATCGTTCAAATTGTTCCCGAGAAATAAAAAAAAAAATTTTTTTTTTTAAAAAAGTCCTGTTTCTAGTTCTAAAATGTGAAGATCTTTTCTAAATTTTGTGCTTCAGGTTATTTTTAGAAGTCTTTTTCCTGTTATCAATGTAAAAAATTTGTATTTTACATATCAATTATGTTTTATTCATTCTTATATTTTCAAAATGCATTTTTATATTAAAAAATATAATTTTAATAAAAAAAAAATTCAAACTTTATTTAAAATAATTAAAATATATTTTTACTATTTTATATGCAGATCCTTTGTCATCGTTATTCCTTTCCATCATTCTATTATTTTCAAATCTAGAGTGCATGGCCAAATTATTAAACACACTCTAAGATTGTATGTAAAATCTTAATTATCGGGTGATACTATACAGCATTTTTGTTTTAACGCTGCTGAAACCAGTTTCTACTTGTTCATGTTCGCGTATCAATTGGTTAACATTGTAATTCAATACATTGAAAATATAATATATTAATGCAAATAGGAAGTATATAAAATATATCCTAAATAAAAACCCATTACATGTATGTTTAAATATAAAAGTGTTGCATATAAACTCATGCAAAACATGTAATTATTAAAAAAACTACAGTGCATCTAATAATTTAGTCTAATTATTGTAATATACAACTATAATACCTGATATAATAAATATTCTATATTTAAGTAATATATCATTAAATTTATATTATATATCGTATAATTTAAATACAAGTGCAAACCGGTTTCAGTGACATAAAAACAATAAAGCTGTATAGTATCACCTGATAATTAAGATTTAGCATAGAATCTTATAGTGCATCTTATAATTTGGCCAGGGACTGTATAAGAGAGCACGTAAGGCCAAAGTAGCCTGGTTGGAAGGATGCTGGACTCAAGTTTATAAGAACAGAAGTTCAAATCCTGCCAGCCCAAGTCTCCCCGTGCAGTAAATGGTGACTGGTACACGTTAAATCTGTTGAGTCCCAAAGTCTTCCATGTTCCCAACACAAATTATACTTCAGGGGTTACTGAATTAGAGATTGATCATTCTCTGACCTGAAAGTAAAAACTACAATCTGTGGTTGAATGAATGGATATATGAATGGGTCCATCCTGTAAACTGGTGCAACGTATTATTGTGGTAGAAGTCGAATTCTTGGATAGAGATGGCGCCATTGGGAAACAAGAACAGTCGCACCCCCTCTTCCTTAATGGCCAATAACAAAATAAGAGAACACATCTGCCTTACAACAGAAAAATCAACATAAGTGACTAAAAGTTCAAAATTGAGATATCTATTGTGAAAAAAGATTTTTTTTAAAACAATTTCTTTTATCAGTTTTCTGAAATTCTATTTTCTATAGACTTTGCTATAGAAAGAAAAGAGCTGTCAAGCCACTTCTAGAAATTTAGCATGAAGCACTTGCATTTTTTCAATTGCATAGCAGACATGGCCTTAAATAGAAAAATGAAGGAAAGAGGCTAATGTATGCAGAAAATAATAAGAAAGAGTAATAATATTCATGCTTTTATTCTTCCAGTCACAAGAAGCCAAGTTTCCCATTTAGGAAAAATTAATATTGTACAACATCTTTAAAATATTTTTCTCAACCATGTTTATTATAGCTTAAAAACTGAACGACTCTTACAAATTATACTTTGATTATAAATTCTTGAATATGAATATTTTGAACATATTTTAACAAATTCTCTTTCAAAGGAAGAAATTTTTGCTTAAATATGTACACTTAAAAAAATATCAATAACATCTTGGACTTAATGCAAAATTTCAAAAAACATAGGAGAAAAAAATCTTAAAGGTTCCAACAATAGGAAACTTGATATTTAATGAATTAAACAGGAAAAGTACCACGAATGTACAATAAACAATACATAGATGTACAATAAATTGTTATCAATGGCAAATATATTATCAGTTTTTAAAAAAATACACTTAAATAAGTAAAATTACATATGTTGGCATTAAATTTTACTATTTTATCCTTTAATTCTAAGATCTAATTCAAATTAATGAGTTATAAACTACATATAAAAAATCAAAGAAAAATTTGATTTATATGTTTACATGAAGAAAAAAATTTTAATTTTTGAGTTGAATAAACTGAAATAAGTAAAAAACAAAAAACATGCAAGAAACATTTGAAAACATGTACTGAAAATTAATGCATCCAAATGCGTATAACAATATGCAATATGAAATAATGATAGGAATACAATGCAATATAAAATTTGAATAATTTTTTTAACTTCAAGACAAATTAATTTTAAGATAGAATTTGTCATGGGATAGAATATTTGTTAGGATAAAAATTCTCAAAAATAAGGAAACAATCTGTTGTTCTGCAAGCTTTAATTTTTCAGTTTGTAGATGAGTTCAGAAACTTGCTATTTTCTGAAATTTGAATTTTTTAAGAGGGATTTTTTTAACCATTTGAGAAATTATCTAAAATTTATAAATACTACCATCATAAAGGTAGTGGAAGTATTTTAAAAACGTTAATATGCGTTGAATATAATTAAATAAGTTGGTTTTGGCACATGATTGGAAGAAATACATGACATAACATCTTAAAAGAACGGAAGTTAATGTGATTTCCAACATAAAAAAATTAACAGCCTGAAGAACAGCAGAGTTATCATTTTTAAAATTATGTTTTCAATAAACAATAGTGCAAATATCAATACTTTCGTATTTAGTGAAACAATTATCAACAAATTGCTTAAAAATAATGAATGTATCATAGATATTAGCACTGATGAATATGTTAGAAATAGGCATGTAACAGATAATGATTTGGCGGTATAACTCAATATCAAAAATTCGGCCAAAAAAATCAGCTGAATACCAAATATTCCGCAACCGAATAGCTAATAAGTTTTTCAACAAAAAAATTCATTAATAAATATTATTTATTAATGATCAACTTAAATTTGGTCAAAAAAATCAACTGAATACCGAATGTACAGCAGCCAATCAGCAAAAAACGTTTTACAAAAAAAAAAAAATCACTAATAAATATTATTTATTAATGATTAAGTTAAGATATTAAATTAAGACCAAAAACTTCACTTAGTGATTGAATAATAAACTTTTGTATATTTCAAAATTTTCCTTACAAACTAGAATTGAAAAAAGTATTTTTTAATAATTAAATTGTACTAAAAACATTCAATTTGAATTATCAACTGAATGTTTTCAGTAGTTATCAAAATTATTACAAATGAGTAGTTAGCACTTGATTCGACTATATGAAATAATAGTCATCATATGTTAAAATAGTCCTCTAGGAAAACTACTCAAAAAAGTTTTAAAATTCCCTTTAAATATTAACACTTAATTCGAATAAGCTGGTTTTCAACTGACAATTTGCGAAATAATGTGTTTCAATTAAAGGAAAATCAATTAAATTCTTAAGAAACAAACAAATGAAACATGTGAAAACAGACAATATGAAATAAATTTATGAAAACGTGCAAAAAATTAACATATGAAAATGCAAATAACAATAGATCACAAAAAATAGAAAAATTTAATTGTTGGTAATTTTAAGACAAATCTTCAAGAAAAAAATAAAAGAAATTCCTCTGCTAAAGACTACTGGCAGCATAGCACAAAAGGAAAATATGAAGTCAGAGCTAGACTATAGGACGTTTCTCAGAAAAAAAATTACATGAAAACAATTCCAAGGAAATAATCTCTCTTGTTCAGAAAGTTTCAAGATCCTTAAAAAAAAAAAATTTCATATCTTATACAATAAGATTTAAATTGTGTCTTCAGTAACTTGATATTTAGAAATTTCAATTGATTCTTTTTGCCACCTAAAAGCTTTTTTAAAAGCAGTTTAATTATGAAATATAATAGAACCATTGTAAAGATAATGCAAATGAAGCGTTAATAAACTGTGATATAAACATTAAATAAATTTATAATTAAGTTTTAAGATCTTAACAATGAATTGGCAGACATATATATAATGTTTATGATAATCTTTCGTTTTGTTAATGTGCAATAATGATGATTTTTTACAACTTGCTGAACAACTTTTTAATCAATAACAAGTTTCTTGGCAAATATCTTGATAATGATGAATTTGTTTACTAACAAATTAATGAACATTTTGCTAAATTGCCAGAAGTTTAGTCATTTTCCACTCCAAAAAATATAATTTATACTATATATTGTAAAGTATTTAACAGACATCAGTAATTTTTCTTCTCATTTTATATTTAACAAAATTGACTTTAATACAGTACATTAAAAAGTTATAAATAATTACTCAAACACAAAAGAATATAATTACTTTTTCAAGCTAAATAAAATTTATAAATGAAGAAAAAATATTTAAAAATACTTCAAGACCAAAAATTTATAATTAAAGTGGCAGATATTTAGAATGCTTTGTCATTTTTCTTTATTATTTTATTTTTTTGAATGATAATATAAAACAAATTTTAAGTACTATTAGTGAAAAAGTTTTAGAACAGCCTCATTAAATTGTACTGAAAATATTTAGCTTGGATTTTTATAACAAATGAATAGTTATCAAAACTATTACTACTTAAAAAGAAATACTTCTCATTTAACAAAAATAGAGAGAGTAGATTTAAACAGAAACATTGAATGTATACATTTAGTTTTGTAACTAAATTATGAATGCTAAATGAGTAGGTTCAAAAATAGGTGTTGAAAATGACAAAGAAACCTATTTAAAATTAAATTATAGTTTATGTTGACTTAGTCACCTTCCTCGGCAAAATCACTGTCATTTTCATCAGTCACAGTTGACCATCCATCATCTAATAAGGCACCAGGTATTGGTTCAAGTTCAGCTTCTTTTGAGAAACTTACAATTTCCTTCGGTGGACGTTTTTTGGTGCCAGAGGAATCACAGCAAGAAATTATTCCCCCTGAATGACTACTTGAAACAGATGGTTCAATACTTTCTTTCAACAAATCACGAGAATTTGATAAGTCTTCAGAAGTTCCAATGGGAATTTTCCTTTTTTCCCCATTTGTGTTGCTTATAAGTAGAGTAGTATCAGATGAATTTTCCGTCTCAGCTTCATTTAAATGTTCAGATTGACCCATTTCCAGAAATTCCTCCTCCGGAATGTGTCTAGCTTCAATAAAACCATTTTCACCACATGGAATGTTAATATTTGACATATCAAAATAAGAAGAGTTTACAATGTGACATTGAGTTATATCAGCCTCATATTCGTCAGAAAGAAGAGAAACACTGAGATCCTTATCCCCAACTAGATATAAGACAGATTCAGACCCAGATTCCCCAACTGCACATCTCATGTTCTCTGTGGATTCATTATAAGTATCATTGAGAATTTCAACTGAGGAATCATCTTGAACATTGGCAATTTCTAGGTTTCCTGCAAAATCACCTCGCTCAACTATAAAATTGCTACCTCCTTGTGCCTCACTCTCTGGAATATTCCAATTAGTAGTAGAAGTAACCTCACACATTTCCTCACATTTTTGATCATTGACAGTTTCTGAACCTGTTTGCATATGGTTCGGTTCATATTCAGTGTCACTGTTGGAACATAAATCAACAACTTCAATGTCTTTCTTTTTGCCTTCAAAATCTCCATAGTGATAATTTTCACCATAGGCATATCGCAGTAAACGGTTGTTAATATGATTCTTATCAGCCTGCCATTGTGCAGATTTTTCATCCGATTTCTTGAAGTTTCTATTGTGGGTTCTTACGGGTTTTTTGCCAGAGTTTTGATGACTCCAATTTCCAGAACTTGTCTGCTCAGAACCTTTATTTGTTTTATGGCTATCAGATTTTCCTGATCTCTTCTGATTATTCCATGCACTGTTATTTCTGTTTCTTGGAGCTGCAGATTCTGAATTTTCCCAGTTTGAAGAATACGAAGCACATTGATCCCAGCCTGTTGTAATGTTTCTTGAGGTATTATCATCTACATTATTATAATCTTCCTGATCACTCCATGTTCCACCTCCCCCTGTTGCCGTAGCTGCAGAGCTCCTTTCCTTATCAGCAACATTACTGCCCCAGCCATTTTCGAAATCACTCTTATCAGCCCAATTATCACTGGCTCTATTGTTATTACATTTTATATTTGCTCTCGAATGATTATTCCTAAATTCAGGATCCCTTTGCTTTGTTGAAGTTGCAGAAGTACTTGCTTTATTTTTATACTCTGGTGAACGGTCTTTAAATCTGTCTTTTTTTACCCTTTCCCTTGAATAGTTTTGCTGATCTGATCCTCTAGCATTTGAAGTATAATCTTTAACTGGTCCTCTAGCATTTGAAGCATTATCCCTAACTGGTTCAGGATCGTGGTGTCCATCATATCGTGGTCTGCGATCTTCTTTATAACTGGAATCTGAAGTTGAGGATTGGTGAATTTTTTCATGATATTGTCTTCTATTATAATTTTTGTAAGGAGTCTTATGAGCTGGTTCTTCATACTTCTTACCATAATTTGCTGTTTTGGTTCTTGAGTTTGACTGTTTCTTAGAATACTCATCATCATCATCATCACTCCAGTTTTCAGTACTTATTGACTGTACCCAGTTTTCTACGCGGCTTTGTTTATGTCGAGCTTCATTAAGTTCATCATTTCTCCAAACTTTATCATTATCAGCATTGGATGAAAATTGTTGTCTCCTGGGAGCATTATTCCAATTTTTAAAATCCCTATTAGAGGAATTATTGCTTTTATGCTGATACTGTCCACTAGATCTCCAAGTATTTTTATTATGTGGATATGATCTTGAGTCTTGATTTCTCATACGGGATGTACTAGGTCTTTGATAGGAATTTCCATAGTTTTCCCAATTTCCATCTCTTCTATTGAGTTTCTCATCATAATAGCCTGCAAAATTAAAAGAAATATAAATTGCTACGGAAAAAAATGGCACATATACTGTAAAATACAGATAAAATGCCCCCTGTAGTTTCACACAAATAATGATTGTCAATCAGTACCAAAAAAGCCCCCCTCCCTTCCCTGCAACACAATTTAAAAAATTTTATTTTAGGAATTTCTTCCTGAATTTGTTAGAATTTTTCATGACTTAAAGAAGTTACTATTTTCTCCGACAAAAACACAACAATAAATTAAAAAAAGCATTATAATAACATTAATTGAAATGATAGGTATAACCAAAACTGCTATACTCTGCATCTTCATATTTATGGATTTTAAATTTAAAAAACAGAGTAAAAAAAGAGTTGAAACAATAAAATAGCTGAAAAAAATACAAAAGCAAATAATTTTTCTTCTGTAGAATTGTATTCTAAAGACACTTTTCTTGTTCATCTGAAAGGAAAGAAATACTCCTGATTTGTCTGTTCTCATTTCGGAATAAAAAAAATTCACCAATGACTGGTTTGCTTCAACTAGAATTTCAAATTGATAAAATTTTAAAAAAATAAATAATAAAAATTCGCAAATCGCAGAAGAGTTTAAAAGATAATTCCATCTAGAAATAATGTTTTTACTTTCATTTTTTGATAGAACACCATAATTTTTAAAGAACGTGATAAAATAATTTTATATTCTAATAAAATATGCCTGAGGGGTGATTTTGTTAGGAATTCAGATATTTGGAACAAGATGAAATTGGGGGGGGGGGATTCCATTTACAAAATAGATTTTTCGGAAGTGGTGCAAGTGGCAAAACATGGTTTTGGAGCAACAAAAAAACAATTTTGGAGCAGCGAAACAAAGATTTGGAGCATATTTAATAAAAAGAATTAAAACAAGAATTTAATAGCAAGAGTTTTTAATTTTGTTCATTAACAACAAATCTTACTTTTTACACTTTTTTGAAGGTGCCTGCATAAACAAACTAAGTTTCTTTTTGGTATCTTGCAATGCTGTTAAATATTCTGCTATCCTCGACTTAGCCTCAGATTAGAGGATCTGTCCGCTTTCTATAATCGACATGTCTTTATTATTTAACTCATCTTTAATATTTTTTTCAGCTGTGGCTATGAGATCTTAAGAAGCCTTCAATTTTTTTAGCAAATCAATTTCAGCAGCTATCAATCTGCTTTCCTCAGTTTCAGTGTTTTCACATTCTTTTTGCTTTCTTTTTTCTCAACCTCTAATCAAGCAGAATAATTTTTAAATGCTGCACGAGTCCCTTCAATCATATCCTTGTCAACTTTAAAGTTATTTAAACCCCCAGCTGATATATGACACAACTTGTCTCAAACCATTAACACTATGCAAATTTAAACTTGCCCTATTGTCAAGTAGCTTTTTATTCACACATATATTCCCATGTGGTATGCACAAAAGAGCTTTAATAAGCTTTGTTATAAGAGGATATTTGATATTTCCCAAATGATCTTTCTTTGCAAAATAGTCCAAATACGCACAAAAACACATCAATTCACAAGTCACAAAATAATTCCAAAACACATCAATTAGTGCATATTCATTTGAGTCAGAAGAATAACCTTCTGGTTCTCCATGTAACAGCAACAAAGATGCCTCTTTAGGAGTGTCTTCCATTCTCATTACAGGATTCAGCACTTAAAGATGGTACAGTGACCTATTTGCAAAGGCAATGCCTTTAATAACTTTTTGCACATGCCATAGACCTGGCACCTAAATACATAGAATTTTTTTCTGAAGAAGATAAGGGATTGGATTGAATGTAGGGTTTAGTGGCACGAAGTCCAAAAGAGGACACACTGTGCCAAACAAGGTAAGAAGAAGATAAGGATGTCATCGCATTTGTGGTATCTAGTCCATAATCTATTAAATTTGAATTTTGCCAAATTTCTGCGTTTTCTACATCCAAAGATTTTAAGTCCTTCCCTGTCAAACTAAGAAAAGCAGAACTCTTAAAAAAACGTCCTAACAATGCTTAAACTAGAGACACCATTTCATCATACAGCAAGTGAAACAATGATGTCTCAGTTTGGAAAAAACCTAAAAATTTATTTAAAATATTTCTTAAAAATGAGCTTTTGGCAAAAACAATTTAAATAAATTCAATATTGAGTGGCTCATATTATTTTTTAAATTAATAATTGCATTATTTAATTCTTAAAAAGGTAATTTAAAACTAATTAAGTTAACTATTATTTAAGGTAATTGAGTGTATTTTTATTAAAATTTAAATAAATGTTATTTGTAATAGTATATTCAACAAAACATTAACAAGATTAATATTGATCATACCGAATTTATAAAAATATGTAAAGAATTAAGCAAATTTTAATAAATTTATATTACAAATGTAAATTAGTGAATGGCCCTAAATTTTTTCAAATTAAAATTGGTTATCTAGTACAGTATTTCATTAATGAAATGATTAAAAAAAAATTAAATAATTTTTAAATGCAAATACAATGAGAAGCTAAAAAAACAATTTCAGAAGTAAATTATTATATCGTCCCTACACTCATAATATTTAACAAATCTGTGGTAATTAAATTTTTTTATATCAATTGTTTTAAATCAAATCATTAAGAGCTGAATTAAAGTATTTTTGAATGACAAATCTGAAAAACATAAGATTTTTTTGCTACTTTAAAAATTCTGAAAGCCCCTCTCTTCACACTTATTTAAAATCTTGCTTCTAAATATTATTAAGTTTTTTCCTAAATCAAAATAAGAGCACTGAAAATTTTGAAAGTAATAACACAATAATAAAATGCAATAGGTAAAAAAAAATATTAGTAAAAAAAAAAATGAAGTAAAATAAATTTTTAAGAACAATATGCAATTAGTAGATGTTCCCTCAGGAAAAATTTACGTTTAAGAAACTCAATTAATTCATATCTTTATTAAATTAAATGAATAAAAAGGAGATGGAAATTTTGAGGTTATGAAGCTTTGTGATTCTTGACTGCTCTAAGGATCATGAAAATATGTACTTAGTGAATGGTCCCCAAGATAATTCCAAGATCATGGGTACTATTCTATAAATAGGATAGAGCAAGAAGGCCATTAGCTTGCCATTGACGAAGACGATGGCACTTTAATAACGATGAAATTAACAAGGGAAATAAAATTTTAATTTGCTATTAAAATTTGGCAATGTTTAGTTGGTCCCCGAAAATTCGAGGGAAGCTTCAGTTCCATATCAGAGAGTGGAAAAGGAAACTTGAAATTGAGACTATCTTTCAAAATGAAGCAGAGTTGCACATGAGAGTGCAAGAATCCTTCCCACTGAATCCAGAGCAACCCCCCCCCCCCAACATGGCAGTAGCTGGGTTGCAGCAAAATTGTGATTTGGCGGTACCCAGGGGAAATTATCCCTTTTGGTGCAGATCGGCGCAATTTAAGCCTACTACTTCAATTTGAAGCATGTAGGCACAGGTTTTCACAATTGGCGCGGATCGGTGCAGCACTTGCAACACCGGAGACCTAAAATCATGACTTTCAATGATTTTTTAAAAAAATAGCAAAAATCATGACATTTCATGACAAATTTTGTTCAATACTGAAATTCATGACTTTCCATGATTTTTCATGACTTTCTAGGTGCGCGGATAACCTGTCTGCACACGTGGTCAACATTTTCTCCCTCCTGCAGGTAGGTCAAAGTCATATGGAATAGTATATACACTCTCCAGCAAGAAAAGGGAAAAATTTTTAGGTGGGAGAATTGAATGTATAGATTGAAAGGAAGAGGGCATCCCTCTCAGAAGTGTCCAAAAATATCCATGTGGTCTTTTGACCTTAAACGATGCGAACAACATGTGCCAGAACTGTTTTTTGAATTTTTGTAGTAGTTTAGAAATTTTAGACTCGTTATTTTTATCTAAGAACTATTTAAAAGTACCTGAAACACAAAATACACATAAAACTTGCTAAAACACATTTTTTTAATTCCTACCCTTGATGAATTTTTAAAGATGGTACAGGCCATAGTTACTAGAATTAAACTTTTTCACAAACTTTTCTTAAAAACTTACCTCCTCTTTTGTTTGATCTAGCATAACGTTGTTCTCTGTCATCAGATCCTCTATCACTAAAATAAAATAGAAAAACTTAATTTTGGCAACCATTTTTCATTTTCTAATACCATCTACAATTGTTATACAAAATTTATTTAATGCTTAACAATTCAAATTTTATTTTTTTATTCATAAGTCTGGTCACTTTACATTTTTTAAATACTTATCTATTTTATCATTAAAATTAAAAGAAAATTTTTTTTGATTCATTACTATAGTCCGTGGATCGAGATTCAGACAGAAAGTAATAGTTTATTAACAAAAAGCAAACAAACACATACTCATTTAAAAAGAACGCCATCTGGCGGTATAAAAAGAAAAAGACTTCGTAGCAATCCTTCTCTGGGAATGACAATTACTATAATGCATGATAAAAAAAATATATTCAGCAAAAGGATTAAAGCATACCTCAACTCAGAAGTTTTCCCAGCATCCCATTCTCTCACAATTCTTTTCTCAGAACATCTTACTCTCCTTTCCTCCTTGGGTGAATCTTTCTTAGGTGGCAACTGCAAAAAGTAAAATTTTAAAAAAGAATCAAAATACTAGTATCAAAGAGATAACAATAAAAATATTTCTCCTATTACCTGTAAATTCTAAGCCTTTATTAACCAAATAAGTTAGATATTTATAATGTTTACACTATTTTTTTACATTTTATTTTATAACCGTTGTTGAACAGCCGACCCAATTTTTGGGTTTACGACTACTAATGTTCAACGCTGTACCCTCGTAATTTTGAACTCAAATCCAGAAGACAAGCGAACTCCTGGATCAAGTATTGGGAGAAATTTGCCTTTGTGGAGGACTTTTTGATGGAACTAACCTGCATTTGCATTACATGGAGAGGAAGACCATGAGCACCTCCTATGGTTAGCCTGACAGCGAAGGGACTCGAACCCATGATCCGTCTACCACAGAGGTTATTTCACGACAGCACTGTGGTCGGTGCAAGCCGGATGCGGATCCGTATAGACCAGCCATCGCTGGGATTTGAACCCGGTTCACCTCATTGGAAGGTGAACTTTCTTTCCCCTGAGCCATTGCGGCTCTTTACACTCATTATCTATAACAATAAACAACAAAACACCATTTATTGCAAAAAATTATATTCATAAAACTGAAGAATTAAAAAAAAATCTACACCTTTAATTCATAGGCATAAGCTAACATTCTATAACAGTGGGCCAGTAAATAATTTTTTTAATATTCGATCAAGGGAAATCTTACAAACAAATTTTAAAAAGGACAATTAGTAATTTATTATATACAAATACAATTAGACAATAATTCTTAAGCAGGGTGATAAATCAAATGTATTACACCTGATGACAGGAAAGATTAAATTTATATTACCACAGCTGATATAAAAGTTAAAATCAGTTACTTTCAATTTTTTCTTCTTTTATTAAAATATTTTATTTTCATAATTTCAACTGAAGGTACTGTGGTAATGAAGGTAATACTATTTTTTATAAATTTTAATACAGTAGAGAACCAATTATCTGGGAAGCTCGGGACCATCGCTATCCCGGATGTCTGAATTTCCCGGTTTTCTGGATCGCCAAAAAAACGTAGTTTATCGATGTTTTATCGAACCCAAACTACAATGAAAACAAAGTAAAACATTTTAAGAAAAGAAAAGTTCTCTTAAATTAAAAAAAAAAAGAAAAATAACATTTAAAAGAATAAAAAAATAACATTTAAAAGTTTGGACAAGAAAAGTAAGTTTGAAAAATACAAAATTCGCATATATTTATTTTTTAAACATTTCATCAACATAAGAAACAACTGTTGGATTTTATAAACAGCCATTATATGAGTTTTCTCAATAAATGTTTTCTGTTCCATTCCAGCTATCAGTTCTTTTGTTAATTCGATACATCGTTCATTAGATATGACAGCAACTTGTTCAGCCTCATCCTCACTTTCTTTTTGTTCAACGCCTGGGTTCAAAACTCCATCTGAATAATTTCGGAATCTATCATTTCGTTTACAATTGGGACGTCATTATCGATATTAAAGCATTCATTAATCTCTGTTTCTGACAGAAGGTCCCACTCTAACCAGAGTATTCCTGGAGCCAGAGTATTCCAGAGTATCCTCGAATACTCTAACCAGAGTATTCCTGGAGCTCATTTTGGAAATATTTTTCTTTTGAAATTTTAAATCCTTCAAAAGGAGAGTCGTCAACATCTTCTTCTAAAAAAATACATGTCGGAATTAACTTCCGCCATGCGTGAGTTAATGTATAATGGGAAGCAAATTCCCATGCTTTTGCTGATAACCATATAGCATCTTTCACTGTGAATGTTCTCAGAAAATCTTGGATGGATTTTCCTTCATTAGCTGCGTCGATCACCTTCTTTAAAAACTCAACCTTATAACGATATTTTAAGTTTCGTAAAATGCCTTGATCGAGAGGCTGTATCAAGGACGTACAGTTTGGAGGGAGAAATTGAATTTTTATATTATTGGCAGTTAAAACAGGTGCAGGTGGATGTGCCGTACAGTTGTCTAAAAACAATTTTACAGTCATCGAGCAATCCCACCGATTTGCAATGTGCACGTGAATTAGGCACAAATTCCTTCTGGAACCATTCTGTGAAAAGTTCCTGTGTGATCCAAGCTTTTTTATTAGCCTTATAAACTACAGGCAAAACTTTAACATCTTTCTATGCCCGGGGATTCTTACTTTTGCCAATAACAGTCAGTTTTAATTTACACGTGCCCGCTGCACTCGCGCAGGCTAATAATGTCAGCCTATCCTTTGCTATTTTGAAACCACTAGGATTGATTTCATCTGTTGTAGTGTAAGTAGTATCTGGTAGATATTTGTAATAGAGACCCGTTTTATCAACGTTAAAAATTTGCTCTAGGGTAAAACTCTGAACCACATTCAGCACAAAAATCTACATAATTCTCAGCGGCTTCTATATCGGCTGAGGCTTTTTCCCCGCAAAATTTTGTTAATGGAATGCCGTTTCTTGCTTTGAATCTGGCAAACCATCCTATGCTGTACTCGCAAGATGCCAAGCTAATTATGAAATTTTTTCGCCTGAGCTATAATTATTTGTCTAGTTAAAGGAAAGTTTTCTGATCTTCTCTGTCTTATCCACTCCATTAATACTTTGTCGACATCCTCATTTATTGCCTGATGCAAAGTATTTCGATTTTTCATTGCATCTTCTCGCTCGGAATTTGAAAACAGAGCCAGTATTTTTTTCTTTTGACCGTCTTTTCGAAGATCATAAATGGTTTGAGTCCCTACGTTATAAAGCTCACTAAGAGATTTTACTGAAGAACCTTCATCTAATTTTTTTAAAATTTCTACTTTTGTTTTTATCGATAAACTCACGCGCTTTCTTTTTTTAGACGTTGAAATAGAGGAAGACATTTTCTTTCAAGATCACATGTGCTATAAAATTCCAAAATTAAAATAAATTCTTCACACACTAAAAAAGATTCCAAGCTTTCGCCTCACACGTTGTAACTAATCCTAGCACAAGTAGATAAATGATGGATGATCTACTAATGTCAGAGATAGAAGAGAATGGGGTGGAACCAATGTCAAATAAATGAAGCTGTGTGTAAAATATGTGCCCATCTGGAGGTGAAGGTCAAGATGTGAAATTATTTTAAACTATTCTTTCTAACAGTAAAGACCAGATGTCCCATGAGTAGGTAGGTCAAGTAGTTGTTAAATTACAATGCTAAAAATAGCAAGATTATCCTATTTATGTTGCGTGTCATTTTAAAACCGATTTTTAAAAAAAACTAAAATTTAAACGCTAATTAAAATCTAATATATTATTGGAAAGAAAAGTACCAATAAGTTTGTAAAACAAAGCATATTTTTAGCATCTAATATCAGACCGTCCTATAAAGAAACTAACAAATATATAAACAATCCATATTTAAAGTTAATTCTTATTTATTAAATCAAATCACAAAAAGAATAAATAACTAAAAAATAATGCATTTTACCAACAGATAAGCAAATAAATAAATAATAAAAATAAATAAACAATAAAAACTTATATTTTTAATCTTTAGGTATAAAATAAATAAATTATCATCCGAAGTATTAAAAAAAAAAAAAATCTTAAGGGAGAACTAATTAATCAATAAATTAATAAGAACATCCCCCAAAACAACTAAATTAATGAAATATTCAACATTTTATTTATATTTAAATAAAATTAAAACGTATTTAATCAACTAGCGAACGTTTTTAAAAATAGAAGGGGGGAAAATAATAAAAATGCAATACGTTTAGATTTTCTATTTAAAAAAATTAAATCATAAATAAGATGGATAGGTAGAAAAATATAAATTAAGATGGTAAAACAGCGAAATTAACAAAGATAACTTATTTTGATCATAATATCAAACAAACACAAGAGGAAACTATTAAATATATAAGTTAATTGAAGTTATTAATTTAATTGAAGTTGAGGAAACTTATAATAAACTAAATAAAACTAAATTAAATAAAAAAAACAATGCTAAAAAATTACCAAATGGAAACAATAACTAGAAAGGGCTCTATCATAAATATTAAAACCGGGAGATTATAAAATCTACTGAATTAAAAAAAAACTATCTTAAAATTCATGAATAAAAAGATATAATTTATGAAGTACGAAATTTATTGTGAACGACGGGAGGAAAAAAAAAGGTATTGAAATCAGAAATAAATCGCTTTTAAAAAGAGAAAGCTGCAATCTGCCTCATAAAATAATCGTCTGATTTTAGTACCTAATAAATAATTGTATACTTCATTATTAAACTATCTTTTCCATTTATTTTTTTTTTAAAATCAGAGGATTTTTAACGAAAGCAAATACGATTCCACAACAAGCAAAATTTGAAAATAGAAGAGAAATCATGATTAAACGAAAGAATCTGAATTTATTTAATCGAAAAATATTGTTTCGTTAATTAGTGTCAAATAAATAAATATAACAGACAATAAAAAAAATTTAAGAAAACGTTTTGAATTGCGATAATAATGTATTGTCAGAAATTATAGAACAATAATTTGTCATAATAAATCACGGATAACAAAAATGAAAAAACTGGAGAAAAAAAATAAAAGATTAAAAAAAAAATTCTAACAAGTCAATTCATGTTCCTTGACTCGGACTTCCAATAGACAACATTCCAGAAATGATTAAGAATAATAGAAGAACCTGAAAGATTTCAAAAAATAATGTTGGTCCGGTAAAATTTGGATTTTTTTTATTCCATGTTGCGCTAGTGCAAATCACAATACTGAAAACGAAGAGAAATCTCGCAATTTAGTAGTGTTGAATTCTCTGACAATGGTTTCCAATTATGTTTTAAGTATTATTTTACTAAATTACTCTGATTACTTTTTAAATGATAAAATTTAATCTTTTTTTAAATTATCAACTTAACTATATTCTTACTTTATTATTGAACTAAAATTTTCCGTTTTTTAATCGTTTTCGTATTCCAATTTGTACTTCCATTTCAGTTTTTTTTTCTTAGTAATGTATAGGAATATATTTTTCTTTTTATTTCTTTCACCTTCTGTTCAACGATATGCGTGTGCAATGCTTGTTTTCCGTCCCCCATATAAATCAAAGATAAAACAAAAACAGCATGGCAACCCCTTTTTGATTGACAGTAGCATATCTGAAAACCACCAATTCTTTGAATGCAGGGAAGAAAATAAAAAGCTTCTCCTTTTCCTACCTCTTCCCGTCCTAAAGAACTTCAAGGTTACAGAAGTTTTCTCATGACAAATGGTGGAAAAAATACCCCCACCCACCTTTTTTCCTACTAAACTTGAAAAATTAGTAACACTTCCGCATTTTTTCTCCATCCTTCCAGTTTAAAATGGCGGGAAAAAACTAAACTAAACTCAGTGGCGCGACAGCCCATAGAGGGCCAAGGCCTACTGTGCCCATCTCAGTTATCTTGACCTTGGGCTCTGGGGTGCAGGAGCAGATGTTCCGGTCAGGTGGTCAGCCGAACGCGGAACCCCCAGTGTTTAGTTCCCAAGCATGCTTGGTACTCATTTATCGACCCACTGAAGGGATGAAAGGCTGAGTGAACCTTGCCCGGCCCGAGGATCGAACCAGGGACCTGTGGCACGACAGCGCGAAGCGCTACCGCTCAGCCACCGGGCGTCAAAATGGCGGGAAAACCAAGCGAAATTATTCCCAGTTTTCTGGGTACCGGATAAATCGTTCTGTACTGTATTAACTTTTGCTCTGCATATTAAATTGAATCTTGTCTACTAATAAAAAAGAAAAGGAAGGGGAATAAACCTTGCAATGAACATTTACAAAACAAAAATAAACTAATTATAAATGATTATATGAGAATATTTTTAATTTTCATTTCTTACAAATTTCTTGCCAAATAAAAAGTTTACATTTTACCAAACTTAAGTATATATAAATAATAGCAAAATTGAATAGAAATATATTTATACGATTAATTTATTGCAAGGTTTAAGGTATTGACTTTATTTTAGTAAGTACTGTTATTAATTAATGCAGATGATTTTTTTTATTTTAGTGCTAAAACCAGTAGTTTTGCAATTTTGAACTGAATTTAGAGTACAAGGAAACTCTTCCGTAAAGTTTCTTGACAAAATTCTATTTTATGAAGGATATCACATTTGCTATAATTTGGTCTTAATTATTGAACCAACATCATATTTGTAGCAACTACACAGAAAAATTTTATGATTAGAGGCTTTATCTAAATAATGATAACATTGAAAACAGAAAGTCTTCCTGAAACTAAACCAAAATAGCTACAGATGCATTAAAATCATAAAACAAGGAAAAATATAGCTACTTCCAACCTTTTTAGATGGATTCTCTCGCTCAAAATCCATTCTATCTTGATTAACTTCCTAAAAAAATATACACAGGTTATTTTTAGAAATATATAAAAAAAAAATGTAGAACAACAAGAATATCTACATAAAAAATTAGTTACAGTATAACACCAATTTAAGTTAGTCATCTATGTTAGTGTTTACTTTCATGGCACAAAAGCTGAATCTAACTATAATGTGCTTAACTCTAAGCAAAAAAAAAAAAACTCAAAATTATAGGATTTGGAAAGAAAGAACTATGTCTAATGCAAAAATTAAAAAAAAAAAAAAAAACAGAAAACCTGTGGCAAAATCGAGGCAACTCGGCAACATTGTCGCAGAATATTGCATGGTTTTTGTAGATTTTTCCTTCGCGAAATAAAAATTTTAGTTTTCCTTTATGAAGAATTTTTCTTTTCACATAATTATATTCAAAAGATGCCTTTCTCATGCATCGGATGGGATGGAAATGCTTGTGATTTTTCTGTTCTCACTTGAGAATAAAAAAAATAAGATAATGGCTGGCTCCAGCTAGAATTTTAACCACTTGCACTCGCAAAAAAAAAAAATTCACTGACACGTGTACCAGAACAGTCCAGTATAACTCGTTGGGAGGCAGTGTGCGATGCCTCACAGAAATCGGAAAAAGATTTATACTTTCTAAACTAATTTATTGTTAACTTAGAACTTTTTATAGTTTTTTTAAGGGAAGATGGAACATCGGTTGATTATAAAATTATACAAATATGAACATTAAATTTATTTATTTATTAATAATCATGCAAAGTGTGATATCTTTCAAAACAGTCTGGGACATGCAATGGTACAAGGCATTTCTTACATTCCCATACAGTTTGGTACACACTCTACACCTTCGCTGTGGATTCTTTTTTGCATTTGTGGGTGGAATTTTTTCTCGGGAAATGTCCCCATTGCTTTGCCTCTAAGCGATTGGGTGTGCTTCCAACAGACATCGTTCCGCGTTTTTTATAATCGGGAATGCACACAGCCTGTAATAGTTGCTCTGCCACAATCTTCATTTATGTATTCTTCCTGGTCATCAGAAAAAATTCTTCGTCGGTTTCGGAGTGGAAAAATTATTTCATCAAACCCACTATCACTCGTGTTTTCTTTTTCTATTTGTCGAAATGATGTCGTTAACGTCTCTTTTGCTTTCCATTTTAGAATGTGGGTTAAATATTTATAACTGTACGATATGCATGGCACTGATGATCTGTCCTCTGACAGCAATTCCACCTGACGTGCCACGCATGTCGTTTTTGCTTCTGTAACAATTCCATGATGATGTAAGAACCACATCACCGGCGTTTCTGGGGCAAAAGCATAATTAGCGTGCTTTTCTCCCAACAAAATGAGAAAATATTGCTCATATTAAAATGAAGGGGAAAAAAATGACATATTCAATTAAGTATATATAGTTTTTTTTCTTTTTTAAACACAGCACTTCTGTTACTTTAAATTAGTACTTATGTATTAATTATTATTAAAAAATCTTACAGAAAGACATTAGTGCTAGAGTGTTTTGTCACCCAAAAAAATTCTGCCACAGGGAAGAGATTAAAAAAAAAAAAAAATTATGAAACAGCACCTCAGGGTTCTTATCTGGTGCAACCTGTACTTACGTGATGTCGTCGCATAATCTTTTCATTGAGCTCTCTCATGCGATTCATTTGAAGGTCCGCATATTCCTCCTTTTCCTCTCGAGATAGATTTTTCTATTAAAAATTTTTTTAAATTAAATTTTAACTGTTACAACACTATTAAGCTTAACTTTCCTATACTTATAAAATATTGTTTTGAATAGATTTGTGCAAGTGTGGGTCTGTATGCAAAGTTGTAGACAAACTCTTACTAACGCTAAGTTAAAAATAATAACTATTTAATTTTTAAAGATGCAGCGTACTTGAAATACATAAAGCCAGATTTTTAATTTAATCCACTGCGTAATATGAAGGAGGTAGTCGCAATCTGGGAAATGTGGCCCCCATAGTTTGGTCAGGAGAGCAATTCAAAAGTTTGGATCCCTTAAAGTTAATTTCACTTTTTCCATTTTTAGTCACATTTTAAAAACTAATTAAGCAATAAAAAACCTTGCACCCACTCATTTATCCAAAGAATATTTATGCAAATAATAATTTTTAATAATTATTTATTATTATTTAATTAAATTAAGGACGAAAAAATTTTGAATTATAAGGTATGATTTTTTTTTATCACATTAATCTTCATACTTTTCATTTGAAAAAACTAAAGTTTTAACTGGTTTTATTTAGTAGAAGCTAAGAAAAATTAAAATTAAGTATTTTTAAAAAAATAATTTGGTGATAATGAAAAAATATTTAAATATGGCGATTAATTTTAAAATGTGATTAACTTACGAGGAACTTGACTTCGCTTGCATAACGTAAAATTTCATTAATATTTTTTTTCGCTAATAATCAATTGGTATTATTTTCATTTTTAGTTTATTTACACTATAAAATACGATGTTTCTGATTTGCAATTTAGTAAAAAAATTTGAATAAAACATTTTATTAAATAAAAAACATTTTATTCAACGAATGTTGAATTTTATAAAAGCATGCTTTTGATAGAATATGATTATACACCAGATTGTGCCTATTTAATGTGATTATTTTTTAATTTTTAGTTTGTTTACTCAATAATTGATACAATATTAATAATATACAAAGGTATGCATAAATTTGGACAATTTAAAACTGTGAATTTGGAAATTCACAGTTTTAAGCATTTATAACTACCATTTTTAAGCATCTTAAAATTTCTCAACATTTTATATATCGTCTTAATCTTAAAATACATTTTTTAATCACCTGTCAGGGAAAGTTTGGGTTAACTATTTTACCAGCGATTTATTTAAATGTTAACACTTTTAAAAATCTTATTCTTAACCCTACTACGCATATTACTTCTTGATTAATATACTAATTAATTTTTTTTAGTACTTTAATTTAGGTTTTCTTTAAAGTAAAGTTCCTTTTTAAATTATTGTCAAGACTTTTTAAAAAGAAAACTTGGAATTATTGCCTGCTAGCTAAGAATAAAACCTTGTTAAGAAGTTAAAAGCATTGCGCTGTTTAAAATTATTTGATGCAAAACAGCCGATTGTTTATTAAGTATACTATTTTTTTCGAAAAAAGAACATAAATTGTTTTTCTTTTTTTGTTTCTTGTGTCTACAACATAGATTATCTTAAATAGTATTGATGTTTTATAAGTCACTATAAAGAGTATAAAGATACCGAACATAAAAAGCTGTCGAATATGTTGCCAAAGTTTTTAGAAGCCTCAAAATATTTTCAGTAACTTAAATGACGTCCTAGCATCTTAGAGATGTGAAATTAAATTCTTAATAATCTGATCACGTGTGATTCACATAACTATTCAACTAATTGTTTCATTATATCTTTCAATCTTTCTTTATGATAACCATGCATATTTTTTTACCAGATAACATACTAAACTATTTTGCTTAATTTTTAACTTTAGCACGATTCCTAAGATATTATTGTATAATTTGTTGTTAGGAAAAATGCCTGATTTTGTTCAGCAATAACTAGGGCTGCAGGTTTGTCGCAGCGCAAATTTCCGCGGAATTGTCATCTTTCTTCTCAAAATCCGCGAATTTCTCAATATGTTTTGACTTGTGTGCGAAAATTGCTTAAAATTTGATTTTTTTTAATTTATTATTCTTATTAAACAGAATTTTTTATTTTCCTGAACCTTAAATTGAACATGTAAAATTGATTAGATATTTAGGGGAGTAAATCAATAGCAAAATGACATGAAAATAGTTCAGAGATAAGAGATAATCACAATCTCGTCAACTAAGGTGGTCTTTCTACACCAAAGGAGGGTAATTACCTTCCTGAAGTCAGTAAGAGTACAAAAGAAATTGGAATCACAAAAGAAGGAAAATGTTATAAATCAAATCTTAGACAGAAAAATTGTTATACATGCTATTGCACTGGGCAATGAAATTTCTACTGCCTTTCTACACATCCAGTTAATTTTTCCTAGACGACTTCGTGTGATTTCTTAAATATGGATCAGTTTCTAGATGAAGGGGGGGGGACTAGCAGTTTGAATGAAGAATGTTGAAATTTTCACAGCAATTACTTCTTACAAAGCAACGGTGAAGGAATTGCGTGTTGGTGAAGGAAAATTGATCGAGTTTTGGAAATCAAAGACCGAAAGCTCCTAAATTGGCAAAAGTGGCAATTCGAAGTTTGCCGGTGCCTAAAAACAGCTTCGACGCAGAAAGATCGTTTTCTAAGTATAAAAATGTATTAAGTGATGAAAGACAAAGGATAAATGAGAATAATCTGACAATGTACCAAAATTCTGTTAATAAAAATATTAATATTGCTTGAAATTCAAAGAAATACTTTTGTTGTGTATTTTTAAGCTTTTTTTATTATTCGCACAATTTTTGTCTTTTGCATCATTTATATAATAAATTTTTTTATGTTTAGAATTTGTATAATTTTCAAAATTTCCCGCAATTTTGGGGTCTTTTTTCCCGCGACAAACTTGGAGCCCTAGCAATAACACTAAAAATTGAAATATTTGAGAAGATTTCAAAGCTGTGCCAATTTTAGAATCAGGATTCCAAATATGTAAAAAAATAATATGTTTATTCAGAGAAAGTAGGTTTTCGTGTCTAATTTCGTAACTTAATTAATAGTTAGCACTAATTAATTAGCATATTTGAGATCACCCCCAGGAACCATTAAGATTGACACTTAGTTTGTGAAAATCTGATCAGTAGAAAGAAAACTATTCTAGGTGATATCTTTTTTTTTTTGGCGGCTGTACAAAACAGTAATAAACTTATGAATAACTATTAATGCCGATCGAATTTTCATGTATTAAAATACGATCTTAATGGTTTGAAGGATTGACCTTAAAATTAATTTATGTGCTTAAAAGTTACTTTAAATGCACATGAATACATTCTCAAAATATACAATAGCAAACATAACTAAGTTTTAAAAAATTAAGCAATTTGCTTAAATAACTCATTGACATTTTAATTTACTCCAATTTTTAGTAAGTTTCACATACGTGCTACTCCAGATTTTAAAAATTGCAGAAGAAATTACAAAAATTCAGAAGATTTTATGCAATTCAAAATTCATATATAAATTATAGAAATAAAGAACTGAAATATTAAACAAAGAAATATTTACTATTTTTCCATAGAGTAATTTCATTTTAATAAAAAAATCTACTCCTGATTATTTCAAACAGAAGTCTTGATCAACTATTATAAAATAAAAAAAAATTATCTAACACAACATACTTACACTATTAGAAGAACTCATTTCTTCGTTGAAGTATAGACTAAACCTGAAATAATAACAAAAAATAACATAACTAAACTAACATAACTAAATATAACATAACTAAAATGAATTAAAATATTATCTATGCATAAAATGTTTAACAAATAAAAATTATAATACAATGAAATCTATCTGTGCAGAAACTTTTTACCGGGTATCTGCTACATTTTAGATTTTAAAATTCATGACTTTCCCGTTTTAAAATTCATGACTGAATAGTTTTCTTACAAAATAGATGTTTGCATTTTTTGATCAGGAATCACCCCAGGTCACCCTATATTGTATTTACATAATAAATTACTAAAAAAAAACATCATTTTTACGCTTAGTATTTAAATATGGGGTGCTTATGAAAGAACATGTTTACTTTTTAGTGATTTTTTTTCTTCAAATTTTATTAAAACAAGGCAATTAAAAGATCTATTTTATTAAAAATTGGATTTCTTTCAACTATTTGCAGTGTTGTAATACTATAATTTTTAAAAAATTTATTACTTTTTTTATTTAATGTTTTTTAGAGAATTTTTAGATTGGTCATGTCCGCAACATAACAGACATGACAAGTAGCAAAATATAATTTCACTACCTTCTAATAAACATTTGAGCTTGATAAAAAATTTCTTTCAATAAATTTGTAGCACAAACCATAAAACTTAAAGTTACACTGTTGCCATTTATTTTCTTAATGACTAATTACATTGATAAATCACTTCATTTTAAACATGTTTAAAGTCTTCCATTTATTAAAAAAAAAAATTTGTCTTTCTTCGAAATTATGTTAGGAATAATAGCAACAAAACAGTTAATAGAAGATTATTAGAGTCAGGGGTCTGTCCAGAGATTTTGAGAAAGGTCCTGTTATAGTAAAATGGTGAAAAAACTACTCATAATTTGTGAATATAAAATAAGCGTTAAGTCACATTCTTTTAACCAGTGTTCTGCTTTTGTGAATTTGTGCAAATAGGGTCCTGTTACTGCAAAAACTTTTCAAGAAGTTCTTAAATTGTAAATAGATACAAGATTATGTTCAACAATTGCTGCTACTAAATTAGAGATGCAACATACAAATATCTGGTATTTAGACTGTACTGCTCAAAGCAGAATATTAATTTCGGGCGAATAATGGAAACAAAATCACTCATATTTTTAATTGACATATTTTAAATAACACAACTTAGTTATGTATCACTTTTAATGTGTTACGCATAAAGTAAACTTAAACAAATCTTAAATGTATAATATTTCATTTAAAAAATTGCCTCAAATTAATTTTTATTTACATAATATTCTATTAAACAATTCTATGTATAAATATAAATTGATCAATCATTTATTTTAAAAAAAATCATTCAAAATCAATAAGAATGTGCACACGATGTTTGTAATAGTAGAAATATTTTCTTAGTATACTACATTTGAAATAGAACATTGTTTAGAATAGAACATTTTTAAAATTATTTGGGTTATGCATATGTTAATTTGCTTGATTACTAAATTTTTACTGAACTATTGAACTAAATTTTTAATATGAAAAATGGATTTACACAAGGGTGAATTGAATTACTTTTTAAACTATGCTATGTTCAGTGAAGGAAAGCTTAAACAAGGAATACATCAGAGCAATAATTCTAGAGCAAATATTTGAAGTGAAAGATGTATATTTTGAAAGTATAATTTGTAACTATAGGGCATGAATAATATTTAAATTCCATTGATGATTTCAGCTATTTATTTCTGTACATTTACCTGCTTTAGATTTCTTCAACTGTGTATAGATAAAAAGCTAATTATAAATATTAAACAAAATTTAAGATAAGTCAAATTTTATAATTAATTTTAAGAAGCTTTATATAAAATATGTCTTAGTTTATTACCTACTTTAAACAATAGATTAAAACTCAATCATAAAAAGTAATAGGTTAGGCAGAATGCAGAATTTTTTATATTTTAATTTATAGCGATCTTTTATGAAAAACTGAAGTTAAAACAAATTAACAATAATACGATGCAATAATAAGACGTTCTTGAACAAGATTTTGATAAATAACAAGGCTTATATAACAAAATCGAAATTAATTAAGAATTGATATTCTGTAAGCTTAAAAAAGCGTTCCTATTTCAGAATTTATATTTATGTTTAAAACATTTATTTCTAGAATTTTTAAAAAAAGTTAAATGTAATTTTAAAACATTAAAAGCCAGTTAGATTTTAAGTAATAGTCAAAACGAAATCAAGTTAGTTCTGACGCTACTCATAATTTTCCCGCCAATTCTTAATTTCTTATAAAGATACTAATGATTATACTAATTGATTTATAAACTATAATTCTATCTTCAAGATTATTTATTATTTTACAACGGTTTCTTTTTATGATCTTAATAACTAATCTAAGAGTCGTTTCGATTCTAAAATCGAAATGCTTACGAAAAGTATAAATACTTTTGTATTAAATATCACAAAAAAATAATAAGATCTTAGGCTTTATTTCTTTCTAATTACACTAATACAGTTGAATATTACTTTAGGGTTCAATATTACTAAAAAAAGAACAGATTTTTAAATATTGCGCAATGAATTTAATTGAGTCAAAAATTCAAAACTGAATTTAATAAAAATAAACTCACCTGTGGTTCAACTAAATATTCTAAAACTTGGATGATTAATAAACACTACGCGTTTTATTAAATTTTAACAGCGGGTTTAAAATAGATTTTTCCGTACGGAAGAACACATCTCTAAACCGAACGAATACGAAAGTGAATAACATTAAGAAAGCTTCATTCAGCTTACAGAATTCACTTCACTTCACTTCAAATAATTTCTCCTTTTCTCTTCTTTAATTTTAAGGCAAGCCTCCGTGGCCGCCTGGAAGATCCTGATTTTTCAGTAACTCCACTCTCAAATTTCATCAACGAAAGCGAAACGAACTGAAGACAGTTTTTTGTTTTTTTATTATTATGTTATTGCTTACGGAAATGGAATGTCGTTATCATATGATTTCTTCTTAAATATTTTAATCAACTATTATTCCGATATCGGATTCATCCATATTAAAAAATTAATTTTCAACGTGTCGTGTTGTTAACTACTGAACCCTATTTGAAAATTACTTAAGACAATTTTACTCCAAAGAATATAAAATTGCTAACGGAAATGGAATGTCGTTATCATATGATTCCTCCTTTACTTATTACTTCAATATTAAATGTGCAAATTTATAGATTTTAAAATAGTATAACACTAAGATATTATCGGAGACTATTAACTCTTGACTGTAATTCTATTTCTTATCAAAAATCTATTTCATTTGCTAGTTAATTACGCAGAAAAAATAAATTCTTACCATCTTATAAAAAGCTAATATTAAGATAGTATTTATAAATTATTATTATTTTCAACTACGTGAAATGTCATTTTCGTAGATTATTAATAAAATATGAATTTTCCATTTCATGTCAAATGTTTTTTTTAACTTCGTTGAATTTGATTTTTCTACTGACAACAGAAATCCTCCAGTGTATTTGCTGACAGTGTGTCCCCTGAAGAAGTGCTGTCGTACAAACACACATTTCTTTTATTTTATTACTTTTTCCTGCTTTAATGTTTGCTGGAATATCTAAATTAAAATAAAGCAAATTTGGTTTTGGCTGCTTTAGGCGCTTTTCCATTTTGATTTAATGTTTTAATTATTAATTTACATCCTTGTCTCTTTTGTTTTTGTAAATTGGATTCTTTTTCTGATTAAATTTCTTATTTTCATATCTGGATTTGCTGCAATTGCGCAATCACGTTTGGAAATTATTATGTTCTTTAACTAAATAAATTGTGTTTTTCATGATTTGGTTTTAGTAATTTTTAAGGAGATTCTGTTCCTGTAATGGTTAGTTTTTATTCTTAATTATTTTATGTATTAATTAATTTATTTCTTTTCAGGATTATTTTATAATTCTCTCTGCTTTTCTATTCTGGTAATGATTCTCTTATTTGTCTATCCATTATGGGGCCTCGGGGCACTGTCAGTTTTGGTTTTTCCCCTGACAACAGAAAGGCTCCTGTGTGTTGGTAGGCAGTGTGTCCCCTGAAGAAGTGCTGTCTTACAAACACACATTTCTTTTATTTTATTACTTTTTCCTGCTTTAATGTTTGTTTGAATATCTAAATTGAATTTGTGCATTTATGGGGGAAGCTAATATCAAAACTATAATAATTTTTTTTGGTTTTGTCTTAAAAAGAAATTGTTTTATCTATAAATATGTTTTATGTTTCTGAAACAGGTAAGTGTAACAAATAAAATGAGTTAGCGTCTGCGATTTGCAGGTGTCTTGTTGTGCCTCTATCTATATTTCTTAATATACTTTCAGGCTCATTTAAAACATTCAGAAATGGCTCATTTTAAAAAAGAATAATATGTAAAAAAATATGCTTTATATATTAGGATATTTTATTTTAATTGTTACTAAATATATTTAATTGAAATTCTTATGCATATTCACTTTTCACTTAATTACACATACTTGTGATGATGAATTTCAAATGTATCATCACTCGGTATCAACCTTCCTTTGGAATTCATAATCATATCCATTTCCTTAAATATGCACAATGTATTTAGATATTTACCTAAAAGTTTCGCTATTTTTTTCAATGTTAACAAATATTGTTGCTGTATTATGTAAAATTTTGATTTGATAATGCTTTGTATTTTTTTATTTTGCCATTGTGTTGATCACTCTGTGTTAGTAATACTCATCATCAATGGCTCGGCAGCCCAGGGTGGGCCTTGGTCTTCTCAAGAAGTTTTTTCGAGGCTAACCTTTTTCCTGCTAGTGTTTTCCTGTTTTTAAGACCAAAAGGTCTTTTTCTAGGCCATCTATCCATCTCACATTCGGCCTGCCTCTTTTTTGTGTGCCAACTGGTCTGGCATCTCTCTGATCTGGTCTAGCAAACTCTTTTTGTGCTACGGTCTTCGTCCATTCTAACAACGTGGCCTGCCCATTTTATTCTTTGTCGTTTAATAAAGTTAATAATGTCAGGTTCATTATATAAATAAAAGCCAGTCTTAGTACTATAGGTGTTCTAGCAATAATGTCTGTCATCAGCAAAGGCCAACAGTTGTACAGATTTATTAAAAATAGTAATACTGCACCATCTTAATCATCTGCTAGTTAGGTTTTTTTTTTTTTCCAAAAATCTTATGCAAAATTCACAATTATTAAATACACATCTAATTCTTTATCACATCTGAATATTTAACTTTGCTTTGGGCTTGAAAATAGACTTTTGATTAACCAATGAGCCAGGTCAAATACTAAAAAGAAAAGAATGTTTAAAATAACATTTTGGGGGTGGCTGATATGACTATTGTACTCTAATTTTTTTTAATTTATTTTTTTATGGTTACATAAAATATTTGATGTACGAGAAACAAATACAGTCGAACCTCGATTTCACGAAGAAGAAAAAATTCCCTTCTAATTTCCTATATACTCAATGTTAAAAAAAACTTGATTTCATGAATTTTTTTTTCTAATCCCTCGATAACTTGAATTTTTTTTTTTTTTTTTTTACATAAATAGTGTACATTTTTTTTCTGAAAGTAAAAAAATATAAAAATTTTAAGAAGAGAAAACCAATTCACATAATGATAAAATTTTTAAAAATAATGGACGTAAAAACGTCAGTGGCATGGAATGATGTGTCTTCCTCTACGATAATGAATGGCTTCAAAAAGGCTGGAAGCATTAAAGAACATGAAAATAATCAAACAATCAATATCGTTAATTCTGCTGAAAACTACACCAAGAATGATTGGGACCAACTGACCGGACTCATGAAACTTGATGACATGGAATTTCATGACTTTTTAAATGTAAATGATGCAGTAACAGTGTGCGGTTAGTGGGGTGATATCGCTCAAACAAAAGCTTCTTGTGAACTATCAGAAGATGAGGAAATCGAAGATTTACCACCCAATGATACTAACAACCTACACAACTTTGATTTTAGTAATTGGAATTTCATTAAGTTTCAATTTTAATGATTTGAAAGTAATATGCTGATTACTTTGTAGTTGAAGAAGAAAAAAATTGTGCACACAGTTATAAGACTCGTTTATACAAAGAAAATTTAATAAAAAATATAACTTAGCAAGAATAAATATAATTACTTAATTTTAATTAATAACAGTCGCAAATGTATAGAAGAGTAAAGTATGCAAGTATTCATCTTATTATAAACTATATTATTAAATGAAGAAGAAAAAACATTTACGCAAAATAGTTTTGGGAATACGATATTTCCAATATCTTTGAAATTTCTGTCCTCAGTAACATTTCAGATGCTCTTGTTCAAATTTTGTTACTTGAAATTCCATCATTTAAAATGACATGAAAATTTTTATATTCTACAGTACAAAACTTTTCCCACCGTAAATTAAATAATAATGACTTTTACATAATAGTATATTTTGTATGAAATTTTTGGAGAAAGAGTTATACAATTAGTGGAATTTTTTATCCGCCTAAACAATTCCAGCTGGAGCTTTGATTAAACAATTGGAACAATGTTTTCGACATGGTGATCACTTCAACATTGTGATAGTAGTATATTGTGATATTTTAAGGATTAAAAATCCAAATTCGTTAACACTAAAAATGTTTATTCAGAGGGAGTATATTTTTGTGCTTGAGGTTTTTCTTAATTTAATGAAGTAAAATTTCTAATTCAAAATATCGTCTACACAAATTATTTAGCATATTTAAGATAACAATTGGAACATGTATAGTATTTTTCTCATCTTGTTACAGTTTAAGTTATCTGGATTTACATCAAAATTGTCATTTTTAAAACGGAAAATAAAAATATTCAATTGATAAAGAGAAACATTCACATTTTTAAGAAATGATAAATTACAATAGTTTTGATCGGATTAATTTTTTTATCCTCTAACAACAGCATTTATAACTTCAACATTAAAATTTTCAAAAAATTAATTCTTTGAATGCAGAAAAATTATTCATGAAAAAAACTTACACAAAGTTAATTAGCAGAATTTGACCATCCTATAAAATTATAATTAAAAAGAACTACAAGAATTATGCTAAAAAAAATTTCCCTCCAATGTTACGGAAACAAGTTGCCTCATTCTTAAAAATATGTTTTTTGTTAGATTAAAACAGCTTTTATTTCAAAGAATAAAAACTATTTATTATTACGAGTTATATATTACGAAATTTTTAATAAAACCTTTGATTAAGAATAATTTTTGACATTTTTATAGTTAAAGATGTAAGTTGTAGTTAATTTTTTGTATTAAGATAAAAATTAACATTATTTATACAAATTATCATTATTTTTTCAAAATGTTGGTGAATAAAGGTTTTTTTTTTCACTTGAGAGAGAGTAAATGTGAAATTGCATTTAGCGTTTCAGTTCTGCTCTACGTAATCATAAAATATACATTATCATGTATAATGGTTATCATATAATATAAGAATTAAATGGTAAATTTAAAAAAGAATTGGAAAAAAACACCTTTCGGAGGTAATATAATGCATTCTCAATCGTGTTGTTTTCCGGTTTTTAAAGTTAACAGTTTTTCTATCATTTTTATTTATTTATTTTAAGTATATTAAACTACAGGATATCTCTCTTTTTGTGCAATAAAAAGCGAAGGACTTGAAAATTAATTTCAATAAAATAAAGAGAATGATAATCTTAAAGAACCGACATTAAAATGTACCTTCTAAAAGTCGGAAAGAATGATCGAGAAACACAAAAACAAATTTTTCATTTAAACTAACTTTATTTTTTA